AAACCAGATTAAGTATATTTTTCTTACGTGCTTAATTGTTGTATAAGAGTATGTTCTCGTCGATCTGTCAATAAATTCACATTTGCTGACCAATCTATAGGTATTTTAACTTCTTTTTCTAGACTAGAAACAATAGATTATATTCTTAATTTAAAAAAATGACAAATAAATTTCTACCTGCATAATCTAGCATGACAATATAGTAATAGAAAAGCAATACCATCTTTTGATGAGATATCATGCCAAGAGAATATATAATCAGTACGTCGTGGTCGTGAAAAATCAGTTAAAATCAAATAAGCTTTTCCAATAACTTCAGATACTTTGGCATGATCAATTCCTTCTTTACGAACTAAAATTGAAAACAAGAGACAACAAGTAAAAAAAAACATAAATTTTTAATTTAATTTACTTAAAAATCGATCAAGTCCTTCTTTTGCTCGTTCTTTTGCATCATCGAATACATCAGATAATAAATTAAAATTTCCTTTTCGTGTTTGAAAATTAATCATACGACCAAATGGAACAAAAATATCATCTAAACTCCTACAAATCAATTTATATTTATTAGAACGTTATATTCAGCTTAAATTCGATATATTCATACCAATTTTGTACTTGATCAAAATTCATTGCTTTTGATATTGTCAATAAATTTCGAAAATGTTCTGTTTGACTAGAATCTACCTTTCCAAAAGTATAAACAATCAATAATTTTATTCTCTTTCTTGTTTCAACAACTTACAACATAGAGAATTTTTTCAATTGGTATAGTTTGTAAACGTGATTTCAATGCAGCAATATCTCTAAATGATATTTTGATTAAAATAAAAAACAAATTTCTTTCAATTAACCTTGTAATATATAGAGTAGTTCCATCAGATTTCTGAACAACAACACAAGCATCTCGTGGTAGAGAATTATATTTCGCAGGAATAATTGCTTCCCAAACACCATCCGAACGTTGTTTACATAAACCAAGTTGACAAAGTTGTTGAACTATTTCTTTTCCTTGTTTACTAAATTGAGATTCAGAATGATATTCATCAAACTGAATATTAAATAACTAAAACAAAATATAGAAAGTAGAATTATGAACAAGAGATCAACAAAATTTTACTTGGTAAACTTGTTTTAAATTATTTATTGACATTTCACGAAAAGTTTTCCATAAATCCAATGCTTCTTTATCACCTGTAATAAAAGAAACATAGATTGAGCAATTATTCTATTCTACATATTGATATTTCAAATAAATAACTATCAATTACCTGCTTCCATTTTAGCAAAATATTTCATTGCATCTTCTTGTAATGAATCATCTTTATTAGCACGTACATAAACCTAAAATAAAGAATATAGATTTTATGAATTATATTTTTCAAGACTGAATAATCACATCAAGAAGATGTTTAAGTGCATGTTTATTAAGTTCTTCATATGATCCAAATTTTGCAAATCCAACCGCAAGACGACCTAAAATTACGTACGAATAGAGAAAATAAAATAGTATTCATGTCGTACCATATTGTGTTCCCCAATCTCCAAGATAATTTAATCGATAAGCAGAATGTTGAAAACGTTCATGTATTGTTGCAATAAATTGACCAAGTATAGTTGAACGTAAATGACCAGCATGAAGTGGTTTAGCAATGTTTGGTGAACTAAATGAGATTTATATTTAAAAAATATTCATCGATCATTAGTTATGTTTACCTAAATTCAACAACAACTTTTTTATTTTTTTGTTCATCTAATGATCTATCCGTTATCTCAGTCCATTTCGGTATTTTTCTCCAATCATCGAAATAGTATCGATATCGTTTTGGATCATAATAAGAAGATGTACGAGTTATGTTGACTAATTCATTGAATGCTGTCTAGATTAAATATAGTTAGGATAATTCGGAAAATATTTGATTATAATATTATATTCTACGGTAAAAAATGTCGAAGAATTAATTGGTACTCGTAATCCACCATCTTTATCTAAAACAGCTTGTTGATCAGATTGTTCAATTGGCTAATAAACAGAAGAATAGTTTCTTTTATTTTCTTGATTTATTATCATCCTTTTTCTATTTACCAATGCTCGAATATTTGTATTCTTATTAAATTCAAGATCACCTTCAATTAATGAAGCTGCTTGACATTGTGGTAATGAGACTATGAAACGACCTAAAGGTCTGTATATAAATAAATAGGTTTAGTAATAATAAAGCAAAGAACAATTTATGCATAAGTAATAACAGATGCTCTTACGTTGCTGATTCTTTATGACGAACTGGTTCAATACGTGTTAATGCATAGAGTTTTTCATCAAAATATGCTTGATCATCATTTATTCGACGAATCTCAGGTATAGAACGAAATAATGTTTTGATCTATTTACATTTAAATATATTTTTTTATATGATATATCAATTGAAAAATACCTGACGAACAGCTTGCTGTCGAAGTATATTCATTATGAATTATTTTTGATTTTCAAAAATTCTTAAAAATTTTCGGATTATAATAAACCTTGAATATTCTGATATATCTTTTCTATTTGTTAATCAAATACTCAAGTCAAATCAAGACTTCAATAGATAGATGGTGTCCATCAATTTTCGATAAATAACGCCAGATGGCAGTTATAATCAATTTCATTCATAAAAGTTTAACTATATCTTCACGTTCAGCTCCGACTAATAAAATTCACAGGAATTTGTTTTTATCTATCATGTAGACAATTTATATATTATAATATACGAAATACAAGCCTGGATAATATTTAACTGCATTACTCTATTCATGTTATTTGTGGATCCGATGAGATCGACAACGCACTTTTGGTATTATACAGATGATTTCTATTCATATTTGTAGAGAATTCATTCAATATGTGTGAATCGAATATGTCTTGAAATCCGGAAAATTTCTGATATCGTCCTAACAGAAGAGAATGATAATATTTTTTTCATAAATATTTATGGTTGTCTACATCAACCATAATTATCGGCTATCGAGTACCATTCTACTTTGCTGTGCTCTGCACTTTTATTAGCAAATATACACAGACATGCAGCTTAAGTGTTGGTGTTGTATCCATGCTTTATCCACACACATACCCTCTAGCTAAAATCAATACTCTTGTTAATAGAAATGTGACAGTTCCAATTCGAAAGAACTGAACCTGAGCTTTCATAGTTCTACTTGCCAAATATTTCGAGGCCGATCCGATCGATCACGATGAACATCTCGTGGGACTTCCTTTATTGGTAGCTAGTAAAAAGTGAACTACGTCGCCTCTCTTCAAATCAAATGGTTTTTCTTCTTTCTTGTACATGCTTCTTTGGTAAATAAACTGTTGAATCTTTTTATAAAATTTTCCGGATTTTGAGACAATACCTGTGAATCCATGATCTACTAGCTTTTTCTCCATTGAATTTAACTGAATATCTATTGATTTTTTCCTTCTCTCAGTGTAATTCTAAAAAAAGTAGTCGTTTTCATCATATCTAGCACAAAATAGACAAAAAAATCAAATTCTCTTGACACATTTACATGTGGGTCCCAGTAGACTCACATATTACTGTTTGTGTGATAACATGAGAATACCGTCCGACGGTTAAAATAGTTCGAATAACATCAAGTGATAAATTAGTAATTATATATATTGCCGTAATTTTTATTTACAAAATTCTTGCATCAAGAATGATTTAAATTATAATCATATTAATTATATTTAGAAATTCCTTAGGCAAAAGAAACTCTACATGCATAAAACTCATTTAAGAAATATGAGACAACAAAACATTTAACTAACTAGTAATAAGCATGACATGAGAAAATATCTTTTCCTTCTATCATATTAGATTTTTAACCTTTTTATTTTATAAGACATGCTATTATTTATTGGTCACAAATGATGGATAGAACTCTTCTTAGTTCATTGTATTCATAGATAAACAATTAAGTTAATAAACAAAAATAATAGTTTTTTTATATACCCAATGGATCTTATATTTAATAAAAGCGTCTTCTGAGATAAAAATCGAACTTTTCTTTAGATGTTCAGTGCAAAATTTATTATGAATTTTTTATGAGCAAGAACAGAAAAATCATGATTATTTTCTCATAATAAATAATATATTTTTCTATCTATCTAAATCTCATGTGAAAGTTGTCTACAATATATGCAAAAATATTATGATTAATGCATGAGATATCATAATTAAGCTTTTGTTCGGCATTTTTTTAATCCGTTCAATGTCATATTCTCGTCTTGATTTAGGCATGATTAGTTATAGTCAAGGCAATGAACTATCGTCTATTATTTTGTTTCCTTCTGACTATCAATTATGCATTCGTTTGATTAAATAGATATTTTATATCATGAGAGTACTTTTCTTTTCTCGGAAGAAAAATGATGACGATTATTTACTTCGAAAAATTGAAATATTCTAATGATAGACAAACTATAATTTTATATGTCTTTTTCTTTTTATTATTAATGAAAACTAACTAAATAGATGGACGTATGTTTACGTTTGACATATTTACAGACGTTCCTTTTTTTTCTTCGAATAGACAAAAAAAACAAGCCGCTGTCGAAAAGATGCTTCCAAAATGTTAATTTAATAATTCACATCCATTCTTTTTCTATTATATTCTCCGCATTAAAAATTAGCCGTTTATCCATGCACGCAAAAGCACCAAAACTCGATTGAGCATGTGTATGATGTTCAAAAAACAAACTGGAATTCGGCAGATTGTAAGAAGAAGAAAAAAAAATAAGACAATAACTTTCATCTCTATAGTCAATCATGATGAGCGAGAAAAAGAAAAAATAACGATTTTGCCGAGTCGGACAGATATGAAAACGATATATTATTAGAATTAGAATTTCCTAGGCAAATAACTAATAGAAATAGAGAAAAAAAGAAAAATATTTCCGACTTGCGTGCAGAAGTTCTACGAAGTAAATGAGATCGAGTATATAAAACAGCAGATCCGAATCGCACTTGTTCTATCTGTATAATAGTAATTCCACATTTTTTTTTCAAAATAGATTTTAGGATATTCTTCGAATTCATTTACCTCTGCTATTTTTGTCATACAAAAATTTGACAAGTTTTACTAGAGTCTCATTATGGATTATTATGTTAAACGTATGTACGAAGGAAAGTTATAAATAGAATAATTTTTATTAGTATATAGTTTTGATCTATTGTATAACATCTTCATTGCTTATATCGAATGAAAAAGGAATTGAGAAAGTATTTAGCATAGATTTTTCTTTCATTTTAGATTAATAAGTTTTGATTTTATTCATAGCAGATATGAAACAAACACTTTCGTTATTACTCATTTTATTTGTTGTCACCGGTAAGTTTTCTTTAACAATTAATTAAATTCTATATTTTATTTTCCATCTTTACTTTTCTTTTTTTTACAATAGTTGCGATTCATCACTCATCGTCAACTATGAACCGTAAGCGTTATTATGACACATGGGACGATAATAATGATGCTGGAAATAATGGTGAAGGTGAATCTGTCAAAGCAGGTTCTTTTCGTTATAAAGGTTTAATCAAAAATGATCCATGTGAAAATAAACCATTATGGTTTTTAAAATCTCAAGAACGTCTTGGTAAATTATCTCCATTTTACGATTGTCTTAATTCTCGTCGTGCCGAATGAAAATAATATAAAAAAAGCCTACATTTCTTTTTTTTCTTTTTTTTGTAACACTATTTTATCAAAATGAAACACAAATGTGAGAGGGGGATAGAGGGAGCGCGCGCGTGAGCAATAAAAATAATTATCAATCCTAAAGAAATTATAAATATATATTTTGTTTTCATATCTTTCATAAAACAACAACAAAAGAATTGAATGAAGTACAATTATCATAATAAATAAAAAATATACTGTTCATTGTTATCGTTTGTATCACAGGAATGAATTGCATATATATCGAATTAACTCGTTACACGCATTTCATGTAACTGTTCAAGCATACGTTTATTATCAGCATTTGTTGTTTGCCATATTGTCTCAAGATCCACTTCAAGATTACTAAAAAGAACAAATAAATACAAAAAAGAATTTCTATAGATTCATTATTTCTATTTACCGTTTTTCTGAATTTAAATCGTCAATAAGAATTTGTTTTTCATTGACTAAAGTCATCAATTGTTTAATACGTTGTTCATATTCTGAACAACGTACTTTTAAAGTATCATATTGTTTTTTTATTCTATTTTAAAATAATAGATATAGAATTTTTTTTGGAAAAAATAAACTTACTGTTCTTGAACTTCATTAGTACGTTCTTTATTTTTACTTTTATAATTTTCAAGACGATTTTCAAGGTCATTTAATTTCTTTCCTTCTTCTTGCATTCTTTCTTTTGTTTTGTTCATTTCATCTTCTTTTGTTTTAGCCTATAGATATAGATATATTTTTTTTTCAATCAATTATAAAATTCTTTAGTTTTACTAATATTGAATAAGCTTCTTGTTCTAATTTATATTTTTCTGCATCTTCATGAGCTTTATCAAGCATTGCTGTTGTTCGTTGTTCTTTCATTTGCTGTAATTCAAGTTTTTTTTCAAATGTTTGCACACGTATTTGTAATTTTTGATTGAGTTTTTTTATCGTTTTTATATCATTCTTTAATCGTTCCATATCACTACGATTTTCACTTAATTTTAATTGAGCTGTTCGTTTAGCAGCTTCGGCATCCTGTTTTCAATCGAAATAGATATTATTATTAACGAACACACAAAATTAACGACTCTTATCCTATACAAAAACAATTTTCTATAGATAATATAATACATCATTGGTAGTATTAGCATGGCATACAATTATTAAAATTAGATTATTGAAGAAAAAAAGATTTGTAATCATTATGCCAGATAGAGATAATCACTTATAGATGTTTATGAAGTTTAGAGATTACACAGACATCATATTTCATTCTAATTAGCTATGGAAAGTCAGAACAAACAATGTGCAAAATTAACTTTTTTGGTTTGATCTTGAATCCTATTTTAAATGCTTATATTTTACCGATCTTCTGAACTATTGCCTTTGATTGATACCATAACTCATGAAAACTATTCTTCAATAATTTTATTTCTATTTTCTATATCTCATAATGCGACTAAATGTCAATAGATAAATAGTGTCGAGCATATATTATGGATTAGGAAATGTTAAGACTTTATATTCGAATAAATTAATATTGAATTAGCATTAGCTTAAGACTAATGCTTATGATTGTCAAAATAGAATTAGATAGTTCTATTACTAATAATCATAAACGTTAGTATTGACCTATTACTAAACTCAAAATATTAAATAATACATCATTGACTCTAATCCAGTGGCGGACTTGGGGAGGCGATCACTCCCATCGCCCCCCTCTTTCTGAATTTTTTTTTGATTTTTTACAGCAAAAATAGGTTCACACTACTTCGAGTGGACTCAAAAAGTAGCTTTTAGACAAAATCGCTCCCCCCCCCTTCCAAAATCCTAAATCCGCCACTGCTCTAATTTGATAGTAGATAATACTTCTTATATTTAAATACTATTTATTTGATATACCTGTACTCGACGAAGGAGTAATTGCATTTCGCTAGCATGTTTTTCACTTAATTCATCTATTAATAAAGAAAAAGCGAATAAATATGAATAAAATAATAAATAAAATCTACCTGTTATTCGTTTCATTTCATTCACTTCTCTAACATGATCTTCTACATGTATTCGATGATCACCATCAATAATTGATTGTTCATATTTTTTTCTTAATTCTTCGTTTTTTATTCGAATTGTTGCTACTGTACGATCTCCTTCAGTTTTTTCATTTTCAACAATCATTAAACGTCGAGTTAAATTTGATACTAATAAGACAAAATTATTTACTTTTGTTTAAACCAAATAAAATTATTTACCTTCTTGAATTTGTGTTTTTTGTACATCATTTAAACGATTCGTTTGTAAATTAAGTTGTTCTTGAAGAACTTTATTTTCTTCTAAAACAAGATAAGCTTGTCGCTTTATATTTTCCCTACAAACAAAAAAAAAGAAATTTTTTTGTATATCAAAAAAAAAATATTTTCTTACATATCAGGTAAATGAGTCGTGCTTTGATTTATTATTGTTGATGATGTACGAGCAATTCGTTCATGTAATGATAAATTTTCATTTGTTATTGATTTCATTTCAGTATGTAAATCATTAAGTTGATTCTAATTAATAAAAATTCTTTTTCTCGAAATTTTAATTTCAAAAATTAATTTACCTGAAGTTTCTTAATAAATTCTTCTCTTTCATGTAATTTTTCATCATAACATACAAATAATGGAGCAAGAAATTTTTGATTAAGCTTTAAAAAGACAAAATATGAATTAAAACTTAAAAAAAAGAAATAATAGAAAATATACCAGCCATATTGGTGACGGTCCTTTCATTGGTAAGCCTTGCATTTTCTTTTGATCTTTCTATACAAAAGAAATTGATTGAATATATTGAGAAAATATTAATATTATTTTATTTTTTATGATACTAATGCAAACTCATGTCATCAAAATCTCCAAGGTTTGGGCGGTGAATCGCGATTTTAAAGAAAAATCGACGATTATGTCGCCAGTGAGAAATGGTTATTTTGTCGGAATCATCATGAATCAAGACTTTTCGAAAAAAAAATCGCCAAATTTTGGCGATTTTATCGCGATAGATCTCACAATTAATCGGCTTCTATATCGCGATAAAATCGCCAATTTTTTCGGGAGTTTCGGTGGCATGGATAGTGCAGTATCAGATGATGTTAAATTATCTAGTCTATTAAAATTCTGTCATTTATGATGATTATATTTTCATTCAAAAATAATCGTCGATCAAATCGCGACTAATCGACAACTTTTTATCGAAATCTTGGCCTATTGTGATGAATCTCACAATCAATCGGTTGCTTAATCACGATAAGATCGTCGATTTTGATGACATGGGAAGATGAGCATGAAGTCTCCTCTGTTTGTTCCTTGGGTTTTTTCTTTACTTGGATCTAGTAATCGGTTTCTTAATTATATAACTTATATACTCGATCCATACACCAAGTAATCTAATTAGTGCCTATGTAATACAAGTTTATAGAATTCAAATATAATTGATCTATATTCCTTTCTCATGCGAAAAAAAACCATCGTTTCAATTATCTATTGATTCTATTTAGGAAAGTTAATGAAATAGAGTTTACAGAAAAAACGTATTACTAAAAATTATCAGTAAGAAATTAAGATAGAAGAACTTCCAATCATAAATCTTACATAACAGTCAAAACATAATTTCTATGTTTTGTGTAAACTAAATCTTATTTGACTTCTGCTAAAAATATCCTAAAATTAAATCAATATAATAACAAACAAATAAGCTTAGAATAGGAAAACTATGCAATTGATCGAGACAATATTAACTTATTTCGACTCTAATAGGCTTCAATATGTTGTCACTATGAAATGCTTACATAGGGAGAGAAGGAAAAAGCACGACTTCACTTATACTTTAACTATACTCTACTCATACTTGAAATTTTGCTTAAGGAATATGAAGTATCGTTGTTTCTTTTTACTTTCGTTCATTTTACAATAGAATAATAATCTTGAACATAAAATACTTAAATATTGAAACGAATTTTCTCTATTCTTTAGAAGTTCAAATTAACAAATACGAACATTCATATCTGTTCTTAATGCATCTGGTGGATGAAGTGTTTGATATTCACTAGTAGCAGCATTTAAACGATGAATATAATCTTTAAGAAAATGATTTTCATTTTTAAGTTCTGTTGCACTTGATTGTCCTTGATCTACAATTAAACGAAATATTAAAAGAAACTTAAATATATTTGTTTGTGATTATTAACCTTGTGCATAATGTTCTCTTAGTGAAATTAATTCATTTTGTAATTGATCACAACGATTTTGTAATGTTTGATTTAAATTTTCAAGATTTTTTGTTTGATCTAATTAGAACAAAAAATAATCATAGCGAAAAGAATGAGGAAGACAATTTACCATGTCCACTTTGTTTTAGTAGATCATTTAATTCTCGTTGAGAGAGCTTTTGTGATGTTTGTAAACGATTAAGTAATTCTTCTTGTTGTTTTTGAAGATTCTAAATTTCATTTATTTATTGTATCGAAATATTAAAATAATCTCTATTTTACTTGATTGTTTAATCGTAATTGTTGAATTTCATCATTCAATAATTGATTACGTTTTTCAAGTTCATAAGAATTTTGTTGATATTCTTCCGGTGGTGGAATTACTAATTAGATATATGTATAAAATAATAAATTTATATTAAAATATTTATCTACCGATTTTATCTAGAACAGATCCGCGATTAACAGTAGTAATAGTAGTAGATGATGGCGAATCATATTCATAAATAACAGGTTCTTTAAATGAAACAGAACGAGCACTAATTGGTACTGTTGTACTTTCATTAAGAGATGAACGTGCTGTCGTTATTGATCTCGCTTCACCATCAATACCCTTGAGGAAGAAAAAAAATAGATCACGAAACAAAAAGAAAATATTGTAAGAAACTTACATCTATTTGACTATTACTTCTAGCAGATGTTGGACCTGATTGACTGGGTGCTGGATTTAAAATTAAGTTAGGTACCTGTTGTCGTGTAATAGTAACAGTTGCTCGTTTTAATTCTTTATCCTATTGAATAAAAATTGTATTAGTTTTAATTAAAAAAAAGCAAACAAACATTAGTTGTTGTCGCTGTTGATGTCGATTGTGATGATTCAGCGTTTTGTGGTTGCTTAGTATCTGAACGTATTGTTGAACTAAGACCATGTTCAACTGTAATTCAATACAAAGTCAATATTTAATATAAAAATCTATTCAATTTTCACATATAACTTACCTTCATCATTTGTAATATGACCAAAAAGACGTTTTTCAGCATCGGACAATGATGCTGATCGAGATGAAGTCTATAATTAAACAAAATGTTAATAACTAAAATGTAATAAATAATATTCTTACACTTCTAACAGCAGTTGATTGAGCTGTTCTCTGACGTCTATGTCCATCTTCATCACTATAGATGACATATTATAAATGAGAAAAAAAACTAATTTTATTATTACCTTTCATCTTCATCTGTACTTGCATCCATTCGTCCAATACTTGTTCGTGGTTTCGATGGCTGATAATTATTTTCACCATCATCATCATCATCATCATTACTTTGATTTAAAGAACTTAAATTTGCTGATGGAATAAGCATTTGACCGGTAAAAGAAGCACGAAGAAGAGTCGATGCTAACGGACCCCATTCTTCTTGTGGATGTATTTTTTGTTGTGGAAAATGTTGTGCAGCTGATGGAACAGCAATTATACTAGTTACTGGTATTATAGCCGAAGCAATATGGCTATAGAGTTGCTTAAAAATTTAATAAAAAACTCTTTTTTTATCAAAAACACCTAGATTTTAAAAAACGAATGTAATGCTTACGGGTTTCTCTTTTCTTCCACCTCTTGTTTTCATGATTGTATGTCGTTGAGTTTTGAAGAAAGAAAAGAAAAATAGAATCATATAGCATGTCTTTTCGTCTACATCATTGACTCATTTTGACATATCAACCATTACTCTTACTGTTGTTAGTAGAAATTGTCGAGTTAAAAAAAAATCAAATTCATGTTCAAATTACTAATTCAACAGATGTCGTTTAAAAAAAATAACAAGAATTTAATTCAAGAGTAAAAACAACTATTTTATATAGATAAGCAGATATTTTCGATTCAAATTATAATATTCTATTCATGTCTGTTTGGTTAGATTTTATGTCGATATATAAAATAATTTCTTTGACATGGATAAAATTTCGATATTGTAGAATATTAGTATATTCCATAGCTGAAGAACTTCGAATGTCATATTATACAATTCAAATCAAGCGTTTGTTTGTCTAAGAAATTAGAGTTCTATCAATAACTCTAGTCTTGCAAAAATATGATTGATTGAAGAGAAAAGAAGTGATACTTCATAAAATTTGAAGTAGGAATAGTACAAATTAAATCGTATTTTCGAATGTACTTGTATTAATTAAACATATCAATTGTAAAAGTTTATATATAAAATAATCGAATAAATAATTCAAAGTTATATTCTCTATGTTTACTCTTGACAAACTAAATAATTAGTAAATGAAATTTTGTTTTTCAATAATGTAATACAATTATCTATTCGTCGTACTCACCAATGAAGATATTCTTCTTTAAGAAATTGTTTCTACTCATAGTTTATTATCGATAGATTTCCGATGAGATATTAAGTGTTGTTATATTTATTATTTAACAAATCAAAAATCTATTATTGAAGTTTAATTTATGCGGAATACAAAAACATTTATCTGACAAAATTCTCGTGATAAGGAAATCAATTTTTACGTGAAAGTATGGTTCACAAGATAAACAATTTTGTTTTACCTGACAAATCTAACCTTTGTTTTTCCTTATTACCCCGCAATACTAAATATCATTGCTCTATCCAATTGCCACTTGATTGATTTACTTAAATGTCTAAACATTAATTGACCTAATGTTGTTCTTGTCAATGTTCTTAGAACGAACAAAAAACAACTCATGGATTTGTCGTCGTACGAGAAACTATATATAAAGAACTTCTGTTTACGTCGTTATAAAAAAGCCAACGTTAAATAGTGAGTACTGTGAATATACAAGTTACTCGTTACATCATATATAATAGTAAATAGAAATTCGTTTAGAATATTAATTGCATACACGATGTCTCAAAAGTCTGTGAAAATAAAACAGAGTAACTCAGAAAAATAATAGTTGTTCGAGCTGAAAATTTCAGTGTATTCTAAAGATCTTTCTGACCTACTTATGACTGAAATTTCTTTCTTTAGAAACTAAGAATTATTCTTTTTCTTATAGACTTTTGGGACACTCTTTCTGTTAGATTTAATTGTTAATAATGCCGAAAACAACTCTGAATAAATTATTTGAGGATGTATTATAATGAAGAAGAGAAATTTTGAAGGAAAGAAAAGGAAATTATCTGTTGGTTGTCGAGCTTCAATTATGCTAACATTTATTGTAGATCTTTCTTTCATTGTAATGTGTCAGTAAAAACCCCTTTTATCTATTGAGTTCTCTTTATAATAATAAAACCTATACTTTCTTTTTTTTTCTTGTCTACACGCAGCTATCAAAAGTAAGAATATATAATCAAGAAAAGAATAAATTTCATTCACTTTACATCATTTGTCTGAGAAACATGAAAGATATTTCTAATTTTCTTCCATCTATTTTGTCACACATATTTTTCCATTAAGGTCACAGGAGCTAGAAACTTTTCTTCGCATAATCATGAAACTGGAAAAAACATCTAAGTCATTATTAACCAGGTGAACTCTATCGAAAACTTCCTGACATTTATTTTTTTTTAATTATTTATTCGAAAAATGAATTAAGAAATTGTAAATCTATCGAACTGTATAAGCACTACTTTCTTTTTCTTATATCTAAATTATATGATGTTATCGTAATTCCTAAGACTCTTCATCGAATTTTATATATTAATGATAGAAAATAAATAGATTATGACATTAACAAAATATATGTTCTCAATACATAACCTTCTGATAAAGAAATAAGATCGATATGTTTTTTTGTCATATTTTTTATTGATTTATATGAATTATTTTACTTATAAGATAAACATATATTCATAGTTATGACTTGTTTTGATCTTTTAGTTATGTTTTCAAGGTATGTCTTAAAAAACGGATATATCAATCAATGAAAAAAACAGAACAGATATAAACATCATTACATAGTGTTTCTTTTTTCTTGACATAACATCTATTACATGTCATTAAATAATGTGTCAAAAAGTCGAAAGATGTCTGTTAGATAAACATAATCTTAAACGAGAATTCTGAAGAAAAAACGACTTCTGGCTGTGCTAATATGCATTACTCTAATTTCCTTTTTAATTTTAGATCTATAATAATAATAACTGTTCCAAAATTAATTCATAATCCGATTATTGTTAAGAATAGAAAATATAAAGAATCATTTCATTTTTATTCTTTTGATTTATTCTATAGAATATAAAATAGTACATTATTATCTATTAATGGCTTCTTTAAATTGGTCAACTACATTAATAATGTATCTTGAAAGAAATAGTTCATCTAATTATACAACACAATGTATATTTGATATTACATTTATTCTACGATATGCAGGAACATTAACAGTTATACTTGGTCTTATTGGTAATTTTCTATCAATAATTATATTCAGTCGTAAAGCACTTCGGTCTCGTTCATGTTCAATGTATTTTTTAGCATTAAATGTAAGCGATATTTGTGTATTATATGGTTATATTATAGAATGTCTTCTTTTTTATGGTTATGGAATACAACTTTTATCAAATTCATTTATGTGTAAAACAATTATTTTTCTTATTTATGCATCAACAGATATATCAAATTATCTTTTAACATTAGCTGCTATTGATCGTTGTGTATTAATATCATATCGAACTGCACATTATCGTTTTTGTCGAAAATCAGTAGCAAAATTTTTAATTGGTTTTGTTATTTTTCTATTTAGTCTAATCAATAGTCATTTTCTTTATGGTTTTCGTGTTGATCAAAATGGTGTATGTTTACCAACAACAATCGAATATATTTATTTTTATGTTCATCATTATGATACATATATTGATATAATTAAAACTGTATTAATACCATTTTTAATTATATCTATTTGTAATACATTTATAATAATACGGTTAACACGAAAACACAATACACTATCTCGTACAGCATCGACACGTCGAAGTCGTCGTCGTCAAGAAAAAGATCGACAATTAACAAGTTTTCTTTTATTAACATCAATATTATTTATTGTATTATCATTACCATCAGAAATCAATGATTTTTTACGTACAAATTTTACTCGTCAATTTCAAATACAATATGCATGTCAATTATGGACAAGTACAATAATACTTATACTTTTACATCAAATAAATCATGCATCACATTTCTATGTATATACATTAACGGGTCCAATATTTCGAAAAGAATTTAAAAAATTTCTTTGTCCATATCGAAAAACTTTGCATAAAAATGATTTATATGATTATTCTCGACGACAATCAGCAACAAGTCGTTTTACACATCATGATGATGGTGATGAACGACGATTAAGTTTTTTTCTTAAACAAACTCATTCATTAGGACGTGTAAGTTATAAATCTGATGTTTGAAAATAAACAACCCCAAAACACAAAATCTTATTTTTCTTTTTTTTTATTGAGAGAAGAAGAAAAATAAATAAAGTAACTCTTTTTTTTCTTCATATTTAACCCATTTGATGAACAGCATTAAGAATCTGTTCTGTTGTCATTGATGAACCAAATGTTGCAAAAAGTGTTTGCCATGCTGGAAGTATATCTTTTATTTCATTAAAAGAAAAACATTGACCTTGGATATTGATATATGCTTTACAACAGACCATATGAGTATCAGGACATGCTTGAGGTTGATAACTACAAAATTCTAAATGAACAAAAAATTCAACAAATATGTTTCTTACTGTAAGAGATGACCGGTGTTAGAGAAAATTGGTACTGAAGGTGGAGTTATAGCACAACACCAATGTCTTAAAAAAGAAAAATAATTCAATTAGAATATTCTATTTTAATAAACATACCCATCATTTCGTGATTGAGAAAACCAAAGTGAAAGAAATTTTTGTGCTTCTTGAGGTAAATCATTAGGATCTTTTGTTTGAAAAAATTTAGCTAAATAATCTTGATTTCTACCATAAACTTGTATAGTAATAAGATTCGAAAGTAAAATAAAAACAAGAATATTTAAAATCGTATGCATTTCTTCTCAACTAACAAAAAGGGAATAAAATAACAAATCCATTTGTTTTTTACGTTTTTAAAAACGGATTATTTTTTTCGTGTGAAATATTACCAGATGCTTCTATGATAATAATAATAATAATGATGGTGGACATCGTACAAGGGCCACTTAGAAGAGAATGAACACATTCGAATCATTTTGTTGCAAGTTCGATTCTCTTCAAGAGTGGTTATCGAAACGATGTATATTCGAAATAAAGAAGAAGAAAGTGTCCTACTACTCTTAACCTATACAGTCATCTAAATGTTCGTATACATTTTTTTTTCTTTTTTTTTCGTTATCATATATTCAACAAAATCATTGAAGCATAACGGAGATGCATGTGATGACTATTCGAAAGACATTAGACATATCTCTTTTTCATTTGTGTGCATCAATCGAAACGAATAAGCAGAAAATGAAAAATAAATTATAGGATGACGAAGAACAGATAGAAGAAGAAGAGAATGTATAATGATGAATGCAAGGAAAAAAAGAAGAAGGGGACAATAAGTTGTCACTGTCTGTCATCATGATTCTCACGCATGTATTTAAATAAAAAGAAATATATTCACACTTTTCTTTTGTTTTTATAATAGATCATAAAAAAAGATATATAAACATGAAAAATAAGATAAAATTATTGTACCGAATTATTCATTAGATAAAGGTTTTAGTTATAATGAATCATCTATAGCTTCAATTATCGTATCAGATACCTTCAGGTCAATAGGTAATATATTATAAAATAATTTGAATAGAATCCCCACAGGGTTTACAAGTTATTTATGTGCAATAAATGTGCGAAAGAAAGTGAATAACATGCACTTTTGATCTTCATCGTGCTAACAAATAGAAAAAGATTTTATCAGAATCTATGTGATCATCTTATAAGGATATCTAGTGAAGAAAAATCTTAAGCTCTTTCATTATACGATAGAATTTTGTATCCAATTATGCTGACTAATTCAACAGTTTCATGATTAAGCACATAAAAATCAGTGATCATTCAATATGGTTGATTTCATGCATGTATTTATCGTCAAATTAATCTCCATTAAAAACTGTTCATTGTTTGGATCTAATGTAGGACTTTACTACACTATATTTTTAGCTCTTTAAGCGTGATTATTTTACGAGCCTTCTATAAAGTTTTTTTCTTAGAAAACGTTGTAATTTCCATACTATAACAAGTATATAAACGTCCTTTAAGAATGATCTCGATTGCAAAGCACGGATTCAAATTTCAAGCAAAAATAGCATTCTTCTTTTGTACAATAAAGAGATTTTTAATATAGATGGTATCTTGAATATCAATCGATAGTTTTTACCAAATATTCATAGTATTATAACAAAGCAAAAACATTGCAATCTTATAAAGTCATTTCAGTTTTCGAGAATGTGTTAAGTATCCAGTAAACTTGATTTTTATCTATAATTCAACCAATGTATATGACAAAATTTCGAAAATAGTAGCAGACGACAATAGCATGTAACATCTGGTCTGCTTATTATCTCGAACAAAAATTTCTGTGATCGATTTATTGGATTTTGTGTTTTATAAAAAAAAATTATCACCTGTTTTTAACTAAAGAATATACAAGCCAATCATACTCAGTACTCATTTTATAGGAGGCCGCTATCGTCAACGTTGATATATCAATGAAAACTTAATCTTTCGATTGGCAGGTTTCGTAATTCTACGTGACTGACCTATTTGTATCTCCTTGATCTATATTGTTAAATATTCTGATAAAATGCATATATTTAAATCTTATTGTTCTATATCATTTCTTTATTTTTTATTTTTATTAAATATTTAACAATGCTAATATTTTAAATTCTTTCAATTCGTAAAGATAATTTCAAGTTATAATTTAATATATTTAGAAAGAACATATCGGATACAAATGGTATTGGATCAGAAATAAAATTATTTCTATTTTTGATTAATCAAGCATTTCATTGATAGAGTGATAATGTGACACGTTTATCCTTATTTCAAGAGGTAAAAGAAAAGTTCGGCTTTTTTTTAATTGATATTTTAATTAGTTTTTTTTTACAATCCAAAATCAATAGAAACTATTATCAAAACATCAAACAAATGTAATTATCGATCACAATTCATTTCAAAGTAAATATTTGTAAAAATTATTATTGAAAAAATAAATATATTATTTTAGACACGTATCTGAGAGCAAATTTCGTTGAAATTATTGTAATGAAAATATTAGAAGAATAATTAGATTTCAAATGGAAAATTTCATTTGGTAATTCATTGTCTTCGAAAAAGGAAACAGTAAGTCGTTATATTGAAATATCTGATTTCTACGTACAAAAATCGGACTACTTCCTTGTGTACTTTATCTGGAATTTCTGTAGTATTTTCAATAATTCGATCATTTACTTTCATGATATAAGTACATCTATAAATAGATTCTCATTTGTTAATAGCTTTTTCCAGGTATTGAATATATTGTTATTTTTCTAGTCATGTGACTTAAAATAAAGAGAAAATATCTTGCATTGATGAATAAAATGATCGAAAATTTTAACATAGTCCTTCCATAACAGTTCCTACTTAGTCAATACTGGTTATAAAAGATATTAGATTGATTTTTAGTTTTACGAAATTACTGATCATGGTCGTATTATAATAATAAAACTAATTTATTTTGCTGTTTTAGGTTCGTTTCATAGCATGGTTGATTAATCGGCATTATATTTATCCTTATCTACAATTTACAGACCAATCTAAATTCTACATTATTTATTTGTTTTTTAATTTTAATAAATAAAGAAAATATAATTATATATTGTTTTATTTTGAAAAATAAAAATCAAACCCTACTTCTCTAGATGGATTCTAAAATTGACGATGAAAACCCATCGACTGATGATACACCAACAATATCTGATGTACAAGTAAATCCTTTGACAATAATGACATCAGTACCACCATTTAAACCTGTTGATGAGAATCAAGAGAATCCACTTGAATCAAAAACTGCTGATGTATCATCACATCAATCAGCAGATATTGATTTGTCCCCATCATTTAATGCAGATGTTTCATCGCCGATTGCTTTTCTATCAGCATCAACGTTAGCTGATCAACAATTATCAACAAATACTCATATGGATAATCATTCAATTGCTGCTTGGGTTGAATCAACAACAGCAGAAACTACTTCACCAACAATTGAACGTTCACCATCACTTCCATCAACATTACTTGATCAAGGCATAATATCTGCTCGGCGAGATTCAAATGTATCAACTATATGTGATCAACAACAATCAATTATTTCAGAATTATCGTCTTCCCAACAATTATCATATTCAAATGATATGCAACGTAGTTTATCTGTACCTATAAATGATCCATATGATCAAACTGATAATAATGAATTGATTCTTCCAATAAATGATAAAAATGAAGATGAAGATGAAGATGAAGACGAAGAAGAAGAAGAAGAAGATGTGTCATTAAAATTTCTTCCTATACCTGAATCAGAAGATTCCGAAGTTGATAAGAAAAAAAAACAACTACCATCTATAAATGAAGAACAAGTACAATTCGAAGCTCGATCACCAATAACTCAAGAAAGTTCAAAAAAATCACCAAATGTTTCTTTCCATGCATCAGTTTCATTCGAAACACATCATAAATCATTACCAACACGTCGACAACGTCGTAATTCATGGAATATAAATCGAACTAGATTACCTTCATTTCAACGTTCACTATCTTCTATAGTAACAACTCAACAACCATCATTACATTCTCATGTTCTTCGTAAACAATTTAAAACTTCTCTTTCAATGCCTAATGCGGGTGATTATTCATCTGGTGATGCAACACGACAATCATCTCGTGGATCCGATCATAGTTTTCTCTCAACTCCAAATACAGCTTCATCTTTATTACCAAGTTATTCAAACAATCATCGTTTTCTTGCTATTCCATCATCTTCATCTGTTATTTCTTCGGATCGTAATGCATCAGTTATATCAGATGCATCTGGTCGAAGTGGTATTGAATCAACAAATCTAGAAACAAGTATATCTGATCCATTACAATCATTAAGTATTGATGATGAAAAATTAAAAAATCCAAAATCATTATTTTATCGTCAACAACGTACTAGTTCAGCATCAATAGGTTCAGATGAAACACCTAGTACACAAAGTAAGTCATCATCTGATGATGATATGAATAATTTTAATGCAAAAATGAAAGATTTAAGAATTGATAAAGATTCACGAAAAGGAAATATAGATAAAAGAAAAGATATTTTAAAACAATTAATGTGGTTACTTGAAAAAAAAGTAACTATATATGGTCGATATGGACTTGGACGTCGAAGATCAACAAGTCCTGTAAAACAGATACAACAAAAATCAACATCAAATGCATTTGTTGAGGTAAGTAATCTAAATCTATGATAAATAAAATTAATACATGATAATTACATTTGTAGTTTTGTTCATCATTTCGTTCAAATAATACTATGAATACACTTCCACGAAATGAAACAGATAATCAATCGAAAATTTCTTCTCCACGTCTTTGTTGTTCAAATACAAATGAAAATTCTAATGTATTACATTCATTACCATTATCATTACAAACATCATATGTTGATCCAATGAATCAAAGTTATACATCTGTACGTAGTACACATTCAGACTCAAGTGCAACAAGTCCATTAATAAATACAAAACCTTTAGCACGAAATTCATTAACTTTAACAACATCACTTCAACGAAAACGTCCAGTACATCGTCGTAATTTAAGTGGTTTAGCAGCTATTACACGTGATCGTAAAAATTCATTTAATAAATCCGATCAACAAAATATTGTACCAGTTTTACAACAAGAACAAGAACCAAAATTACCAATGAATCGTAATATAGAAGATATTCTTAATGAACATTTAATAATGATTAATAAATTTCTTTCAAGTCATTTATATAATGCTAGTATGTCTTATCCATCACAAAATTCTTCCATTCGTGATTTTCTTTATACACGTTTAAATGAATTATCACAACAAAATCCAATGAATCAACGATGTTCAAGAGTTGAAACAAAAGCTTTCATTGATTTAATTAGTACATTTCAAATGAATCGTGCACATCATTATAGTTTTTTAACAGATAGTGTAAAAGATTTATTAATATCAAATAATGAAGCAATACATCTTATGAATCAATACAGTGAAAATGATGATGATATAATTCAAGGTATATTGTAGAATTGAATATTTACGAGTTCTTAGAAAGTTCTATGTATTTGTTAGGGTCAAAATTAGAATATTGGCGGTTTCGACTATAAAACTTGGTTAAAAGCCAGTAAGGGAAATAGATCAAAGGCTAAGACTGATAGTGAGGGTGAGGAACTTCGGATGCCTGAGTGAGAGTAAATAATCGCGGGAAACCTGAGTTTCAGTCAAAATTCCACTGTCTATGTGAATTCTGGCGGTCTCAAATAGACTAACGCTTGAATCCTATACGACACACTCGTCCTCATCCTCACTATCAGTCTTAATCTTTTACCTATTTCGCTTACTGGTTTTTAATCAAGTTTTATAGTCGAGAATGCCTACAGTATATTTAAAAAATAGAATTGTAGATCAGTTTAGTGGACCATTCAGTATTTGATTTAACATAAAACTTGAATAAATTTTCTTTGCCAAAAAACAAAGAACTTATTATCAAATATCTAGAAACACACACTAGGTTTAGAAATTATTTACTATATAATTTTCTATTTAGATGGTCATATTGCTAGTAATGAATCATCAAATACATCGTCACCATCATTAACTCGTTATACAAGTACTGAATCAAAACCTGAAATAGATGATGATAACAAATTATTTAACGATCGTCCATTACGTTTTTTTCGTACACTCTCGGAAGATTATATTCTTGCTTGTGAACGTACAGAAAATGACTTAAAAAATTTATTTGATATAGCTGATCAACAACATACACTCTACTGTTTAAAACATATTGATAGTGGTCATACAAATGATTCATTAGCAGCATTTCATCGACGACTTGATGCACTTTTTGTTTGGTATAATCTTTATTATGAATTAACAATATCAGTTAGAAAATTAAGTGGTCTTTTACGTTGTGATGATTGTGATGATTGGCCTAAATTACATTTTCGTTCAATAGGAACTCATCGTGAACGAAAAGCAAAACGTGCTAACGAAACTTACGTTGATTATGATTCAACAAGTGAAGAATCCGATGCTGAAGATGAAGAGGAAATAAAAACAACAGAAGAAAGTGATGTAGAAGTCGAATCAGAAGATAGTGGAGATAATGATATTCTACCAAAAGTATGTTTAAATTGTGTTTTGTTTTATCTAACCTTTCGAAGTCTTCGCTTGAGTTTTATTCGAACAGATTACAGAGAATTTTGATCTGAATGTTAGTACTTAAGTGAATAGAGGCAAATAGTACACCCGCGAGCAACTATCCGTAGACAAGCAAATTCAGAATGTTTATCTTTTAAATTTTATTTCTAGACATATTGGCCTGAAGAACCACCTGATCATTTATCACGTCTTGAAAGTAAATTAAATTCTATATTTTATTTATTTTTTATCTGTTAATTTAGTTGCCGATGATTCAACAACAACAACAACAAATGAGATAAATCCAAAAGTAAAAGCATTAAATCGAAATGGTTGTTATCGGTAAAACAAAAATAAGAAATGAAATCATTTATATATTTTTTCTTTATTTAGAAATTTTGTTTATTATATGGATAAACGTTCTTATCAAGTTAAATATGATGGATTAGCAAGGACATTAATCGAACGTGTTGCACCAGTTCTTGTTAAGACTCGTTTAGCTTTATTACAAACAGATGATCGACGTAAAATAAAACTCGAACAAGTTCTTGCAGGTTCACCATTATGTGATTTTCAAACTTCACAGATAAATAAATCTGAATCGAAAATTAATCTTAATAATGATGATACAGATGATAAGCTAGTTGATACAGATAATCCAGTTGATGAAAATTCAATAGCAGATATCAATATTGGAGAATTAACTATTGAAAAATGGCTTTTTCATGTATTAAAATCATGTCCAACTATAAAAACAATATGTTCACATACTGATGATATATTAAAACAAAATTGGCTTGAATTACATCAACAATTAGGTTTACCATCTTTATTACCATTATATTTTTTTATTATTAATGTTTTACTTGATGTTATGAATGAATGTTTAAAACTTTATAATAGACCTTATATGAATAATGATACGATTGAAATCGATTCTCTTTGTCGACAACAAGTAAAAATAAACGAAAAAAAATTTATGTACATATTTTCTCTTTATTTCAGCTTGTTCGTGAAGCAAAACTTGTATTAAGGTTTGTTTTAAAGTATTAAAACAAAAAATCTGATCGTTTTTGTTTTTCTAAATATTCTATTAGAGATGCATTAGCTACTCGTTTATATAGTGTACGTATGATGGAACAATTTATGTCTCAACGTGAAATAACTCACGAACTTATGGAATTCGATGAAAATACTATTAAACTTTATACGGTTTGTTGGATAGATTTTTTGTTCATATAAATATTTTCATATTATCTTAGCATTATAAACAATTTTTAAGTACAGTTTGTATTAATCGAACATTTGGTATACATGATAGTGATAATATGATTATGAATAATGAACCAAATATTGATTATTATTATTATGTTGATGAAGAAACATCAGAATTAATTAAAGAATATTATTTTGCTAGAGATTTAACAGTTACATTAGGAAATCGAACAGAAATTCGTGATCTATGTAATGAATTTTGGTATATAGTAACATTTAAAGAAAAAAAGATTTTTAATAATAATATTTTGTTTTTCTTTTCAATATTTATAGTGCTTTAGCATTGAGAATATTAGCACAATTGAAAGAAGAATTAAATGGTAAAACAGAAGAATATTATCAAGTATTTGCAATTGATATGAATGATAAATTAGGACTTAATGATGGATCATATTCAGCCGAGTAAGAAAGAAAAATAAATATTTTAAGAATGAATATCATTTCTCATAAATTGCTTTGTGATTATCTATCTAAATTATCGTCATAGAACGAAACTTCATTTGACTATTTCTAGAGATACTTTTTCCATCGAACTATACGGTATTGCCCCGAAATCCGGAAAAAAGATTCAACAGTTTATTTAACAAAGAAGCATGTACAAGAAAAAAGCGAAATCATTTGATTTGAAGGGAAGCGATGTAGTTCATTTTTTACTAGCCATTAATAAGGAAAGTCTCAGGAGATGTTCATCGCGATCGATCTCATCGCCTTCGAAATGTGTGGCTAGTAGGATTGTGAAAGCTCAGGTTCAGTTCTTTCGAACTGGAAGTGTCACATTCCTATTAGCAAGAGTATTGATTTTAGCTAGAAGGTGTGGGTGTAAATAAAGCATGGACACAACACCCACACTCTCAAGGTGCGCGTCTGTGTATATTTGCTAATAGAAGCACAGTAAAGCAGAATAGCACCCGGCAGACGACAATCATACACTTTTATGAAAAAATATCATCATTCTCTTCTGTTAGGACGATATCAGAAATTTTCCGGATTCCAAGACATATCCGAATCATACTAAACAGTCTACTTTAGTTCTTATCAAAACTTGTAAAAAATAATTCACCCTATGAGAAATATTTATTAGACAAAAAAAACTGAGAGATTAAATCTTAATATGATAAACTTATTCTTAGAACTGTTAAAATAATTTATCTCAATATTGTAATCATATTTAATAGCATAACTTCTGATACAATCAAACAACCATCATTTCAAACATCAGCAAGTGTTCCACCTGAACTATATCATAATGACTCAATAGTTTCTGATACAGCTTCATCTTTTTCTGATCAAAAGAAGTAATTTAAATTGAAAAAAAATATCTATTTGATTATATTGATTACTTTCGAATTTTATTTATTATATAGAAACGATATAATTTCAAGTACACGTGAATTTCGTCGACATTTTGATATAATCAAACAACGAACAACACGTGTTTGTCAATTAGCTAAAACACTTGTTGATGTAAATTTTCTTAAATTAATTTTAATTTTTGTATTGTATTCTTATTCATTAAGGATTTCTCGATTGCAATTGAATTTAACTGTTTCAATCATATTGAATTATGGCAACAACTTCGTCAAAGTTCTTATGTTCAAGTTAAAATATATTTTAATAAAAATGTAAAAAAAAAACAATTTTTTTGTCTACTAATTAAACAATATATGTGTATCTTTTTTTAATTAGAAAGCAGATGATTTTGATAATTTTTATATTTTTGCTCCACCATGGTTATCAACAGATAAAAATCAAGTTGAAAAAATTTTAAGTATTATATGTACTCAACAATTACCAATAGATGACATAAATCGAACAAATAAAGATGACCATCCATGTTATATTGTATTTTTACCAAAGAAAAGTTTTCAACGACAAAAAATTCAATGGTCTGGAGAAATTTTATTTATTCAACCAAGTGAAAGTACAAAATTAGCTTTAAATTCTACAGAACTTGATTCATTACATTTGGTTATAAATCGATCTGATCATTGGGAACATATAGCAAAATTATTTCAATCACATGTTGGATTAACAACTGTGGAACTTATTAGAAAATTACCACGTGATGAAGATATTCGTTCAACTTTTGATCAATTACCTGTATGTTATTTTATAGAAATATGAATGTAAAATCTGGCTATTTCTTTTTCATAGGAACATATTGAAAAATTAAGTATTGAAATAACAAATCTTGTTCGAACATTAAATACAATTTGGGATCAAGATTCAACAAAAATTTATCTTACAGAAATTGTTAAATTTGATGAACGTACAATTGAATCAAAATTAGTTGATCTTGTTTTATATGTTTATAATTCTGGTTTTGATCTTTTTCGTCTTTTATATGATCTTATACCAACTATATCATCAAATAATGATGAAATACTCGAAAAATTTGTTCGAACTATGAATGAATTCTTCTGTGAATGGTGTAAATGTGTTACAAAAAAATTTAAATATATATCAGGACAACAAGCTCGAACAGCTAGATATAAAGTATTTAGGTAAAATATAAACATAAGGATATTTGAAATATACAGGAGAATCGTGTGATAGTGAATATCTGAGTGTCCGTTTTTTACAAGTTTGTCATGGAGAGGTCTATATATGAGTAGAGGATTCTGAAAAGAAGGTTTCCTTCTCAAGATATCAAAGCTCTAAAAATAGCTTATATGCTACAAGAGACACTACAACTTTGATATCTCGAGAAGGTAACCTCCTTTTCAACTGAGATTTTCAGGATATACTACTTATATATAGACCTCACTATGGTCTATCTTTTGTACAAAGTTCAAACTCCAAAAAAGATTAATTAGTTGACAATATTCCCTCGTCGCATGCATTGATAAGTATGCACAATTTAGATTCTCTCTGTGTCGCTTATCATCTTCTTTTATTGTTAAATAACCCATTCTATCTATTCGCAATTTCATTCAGTATAATTTTTTATTATTTTTATTACCGGCAGAGTCGACTTATCAATAGACATGCCCTGAATCGTTTTCACCTAGATAAAGAAAGAAACAATTTTTCTTAATATTATTCCTAATTAGTCAGATAAATTGAAAATATCCAGTATCTATTTGCTAATACAAATCGAGCAAGTGTTCACTTTCGAAAAGTTCAACCACTGCAAAAATAGTTCAAAAGGAGAGGTTACCAATAGGTTTTCATATAAAGAGATTGTACATAGTATTGCAAAGATTTAGTTTACAGTGCTACAAATAGTTTTATCCATCGTCGATGTTCTTTTTTCTTAAATTTAGACCAAAATGGCTTTCTCCTGGTATGGTTTTTCTTCGATTTTTGGCAAAATCAACTCATTTACAATTACTGTCAGATGAAGATTATAAAAAATTAACTAAAGAAATGCCTGCTGCTCTTGATGCTTTATATGGAAATGTGAAAGGTAATCCTACTTCACCAACGACTAAAGGTAAATTTTATTTAAAAAAAATCTTTTTTTTCTGTTTCCCAAAACGAATTTTGTTTTTCTCCAAAAAAAGAGACTAGTTTAATAAATGATCGTCTCTATCAAAATTTACGTACTGGTAAGCAAATAAAATAAAAGCTTCTCGGAGATTTGTTTGATTTGATTATATTTTGAATTTGTTGGAACTATATTTAAATTTTCTTTTTTTTCTTTATAGTTCGTTCCAATAGTGTTTCATCAATATCAATAAATTTAGGCCGACCACGAGTTTCTTCAAGTACAAGTAAAGAACTTTCTTCCTTTCTTTTTTTTTTGATTCATTACTATAATTAAAAAATATAATTATATTATTTAAGATGTACATCGACGAAATGAAAGTGGTGGTCGTTATAATGAACTAATAACTTCAACATTCTTAACACCTCGTCAACGTATTACACAAAAAATAAAAGATCTTGAAAATAATTTAGAAAAAAAATTTCGTGAACGAAAACAAATTGGACAAATTTTTGATACAACATCATTAACAAGTGGAACTATTCCAGATCCTGTTATATCATTAAAAACACGTAATATTGATTTTCCATGGCGTCGTGGAACCCGTATTGGTCAAGGTGGTGCTGGTGTTGCATTTCGTGCAATTAATGCTTCAAATGGATCTATTGTATGTATGAAAGAAATTCAATTATCATCAATTGCTTCTCGATCATTACCAAATGCATATCCTGATAAACTTCGACGTATTGCAAAAGAAATCGATATGATTATGTCTATCAATCATCCAAATATCGTACGATATTTTGGTATCGAAAAATATAAAGTAAGACAAAAAAAATGTCTTCATATTTATTTAATTTTCTTCTTTAGAGAACAATTTATATTTGTATGGAATATTGTTTATCGACAGTAAATGAATTTCTTAATGATATAAGATCATTTCAAAAACGTGCACGTATAAAACGAAAGAATAGTATTTTATGGAGTGATTCAAGTGAGCAAGATGAAAATTATAGTACATATGACGCTCTTTTAACTTCTTCACTTGATTTTAATGAAAATGTTCGTGGTTTTGTTAAACAATTATTAAATGCTTTAATGGCTTTACATGAAAATAGTATTGTTCATTGTGATGTTAAAGGTGATAATATATTTATTGCAAATGAAGATGGAAAATATATCGTTAAATTAGGTGTAAGTTCATGAAAATAAGGAAAAAAAAACGTACTTTTTTGTTTAATTTTTAAAGGATTTTAATTTATCTCATCGACTTGAACTTGAATCACCATCATCAGATGGCAGTGATTCACGTAGTACACAAAAAGGAACGATATGTAAGTTATTTGATTTAATACTATGAAAGGAGTACATACTGCTCAATATATTTTTATGAGTTATATATTCAGTTTGCAAAAAACACTTGGCCTAATAATTTTTCATAGACAATCCAGATATTTCTAGTATGACTGGATAGTCCATGGGAAATACTATATAATTTTCATCGGTCTTTATCAAAAAAAATGACAAATATAAGTACTGTAGTTGGAAGCTTCAAAAATAATTATATTTTATTCCTTTTTTTAGAAACAGGTCGATACACTCCTTTGAATAATCAGTCTTAACTGTTTAATAGAATGCTCGAATAGACAGTTTCTTACCTAGATCGTATATTTCTCTGACAATTCTTATCTATTTTAAGAGCTTGCTTAATGTCACGTTTCCAATATTATACAAGAAATTTGATAGAATCTCCTAGTTATTAAAATCTGAAATTTAACCTCATTCCAATAGTATAATTGTTTTTGAAGCGTGCCGACCGATGAAATGGGTGTTATTTATAGTTAGAATAATAGAAGATCTGGGAAGATGGATAGATATCTTTTTGATAGGATATTATTTACAAAATAGAAATATGATTTCGTCATATGTCCTTAAGTATTTGTTTATTCAGATTATGAGATTTACACTAAGGCTCACAATGTGAATGAGATAGATTGTTACGATAATTATTAAATAATAAAGATAAAAACCTCGAGCTAATTACCTGACAGAATAAAAATGAAAAAGTTGCATCAATAGAATTCAAGGAAAAAACATGCTCATTCTGATACTAATGATATTTAGACGTGTCTAACTGTTAACAGAAAAAATGCACTTTTGTTGAATTAATTTTACTTTGAACTCATAGAGAATTATTCTTTATGTATATAATATTCTATTAATTTGCAAATGGCTTATATCGAGTTCTTCTATTGACGGAAGTTTATAGAGATCTAATTATTTCTATGAATCTTGGTATGACATTCTTTGTTTGAATAAACAAATGTCAAAGGACATCTGATGGAATCATATTCATCATTTGTCAATAATATGCTATCAAAACATATCGTTCTATCTTATCAAATAAATATAAATAGCATAACAAAAATTTATGGAATGTACAAAATAGATCCATTTAAAATAAATATTCTTTGAGCTTTCATAATTACTAGAATGCATTTTTATTTTATTAGATTTTAAACCTCCAGAATCTGAATATGTTTATAAATCTGATATATGGGCACTTGGTTGTACAATAATAGAAATGTTAACTGGCAAAGTATGAGCTTTAAAGAAGTTTCGAAAGAAATGAAATTTTTTTTGTTTTAGTTACCATGGACAAATGTAACACGGCCACCCGACGATCAAATTTATATTCAAAATCAATTATTAGCGAAAAAAGGACCACCCATTCCAGAAGAATTAAGAGATCAAAATGAAGCATATGAATTTATTGAATTATGTTTAAAACCTGATCTTGAAGAACGTCGATCAGCTAGAGAATTACTTAATCATCCATATCCACGAGTTCGAATTGGTATAACAATAGAATCTTTTTTCTTTCTTCATTTCTATATGAATATTTATTCCTATTAATTAGGTTCGTAGCATCTCAAATTCATCGACAAATAACTAATAATGATTATTGAACTATTAAGTCAGATGATTGATTTTTAATATTATCTATATTTTAAAAGTTTTTATTCGTAGAGCGTAGAAAAGTTTAAGAAAAATAATGCTTCAATTTTTTTTACCGTGTGATATATTTGTCAAAGCTATTTATTTTAATTAAATACTAATAAAAAACAGTTTTATTAATGTAAAATAAAGTGATTATTATAAATTGATGAATATAATTCAATTTTCTACAAAATATTCTCTAAAGGCAAAACTTAGAATTTCATATTTGTTAAGTTATACGATTTTATACGTTTAATAAGTGTTGAACAAGTTCTTTTCTGTTTATATAATAAACTTGTTGACTGTATATTTTTCATTGACCTTATAATTTTAATTCAAAAAAATAAATATATATTTATAACTTCAATCAAGCTGAATAAAAAGAAAATGAGTGCATTATTTTTTTTATAATTTTCTAATTGACTATAATTTTTTATTCATAGAAATATTCTTTTTCAAAAAAGTTATTCATGCTTTAGAGCAAAAGAACATCACTAGTAAGATTTATATTCTACAATAGTATGTCAACATGACAAAATCTATTTAGAAACATTGTTTTTAGTATTTAATTTGATCGTTAAGAGTACGATGATAAGTAATGACTTTGATTTCATAAGTGTAAAACAAAATTACTGTAAATAAAAACCGACTTTTATATGTCATTAAATTCAAGCAAATTTTTAATAACTTATCTTAGTCTCATGAGAATAGAAATAGAAATAATCTTTAGCAAACAACTAGTTCAAAAATAAAATATGTCAGAATTATTTAGAAAAATTAATCTTCTATTTTAATCGTTTATTTAATTGTTTTTAATTCTATATTTGTTTATGCTAAAAAAAATCAAAAACAAAAACTAACGATAAAAATAGAAACTCGTATTAGTAATTCTTGTTGTTAAACTTAATAAATAATGACTAGTAATTTCGTCGAGACGCATCGTCTAACGGGAATGTTTTTATGCATAAATAAAAAAGAACCTCGAAAGTTTTTTTCATAATTACTTCTGAGAAAAAAATAAACATATACATGATATACAATTAACGTTATCGTATAACCATAAACCAAATGTTCCTATCAGATCATTAATGTTTATCTCACAGTTAACAAAACAAAAAACAATACAGTTATAAACAATTTAGATGAAAGAACTAAAAATAGATTGTTTTCTTGAAAATTATAATAACGGAAGTTGCCACAGAGAGAAAAAAAGAGAGGAGTAGTTGATACATTAAGAAAACTAAAATTAACATTATCACAGGAACTTTCAAGCATGTATGTATCATTTCGAAACAACTGATAATAAAGTTGATCTTATTGTTTGTTTTGCATGATTTATAACTATACATGTATCTAATGAAATACTATAGTTTCCTGTTAGGTGAACCTAATGAATAATAAAAATCATGATGTAAAACTAGACGATAAGAACGAATAGAAAACGATTATCGTGATATTTTTGCTGATGTTCCTGTTAATTGTATAGTTCAACCATATGATATAGCTTAGGATCACATTATGAAAGTAAATTGATCTTTTTGTTTTTCATATTTTAAGTACAAATTAAGTCATAAATGATGAATTTGACGTATATTGTAGATTTATTCTAATTACAAGATTTTCAACATATAACAAAACAAATATACATATGATAAAATATGTTGAAGCATATATAAATATTTATTCTTATAATTATGCAAATGACTGTTACACTCGGAAATAGTTATATGATAAAAAAGAAATGATGTTATTAAAGTTAATAGTTGTATTATTCATACGAAGTGTTTTACGGAATATTACACGTAATATTATCATGTGTATCGACGCATGCCTATGGGAATGGCTACAGAATGAATCAATAAGACAAATATGGTCTGATATAGAATGAAAGAACGATAAGACCTAGTAAAGAAAAAGAATAGATGTAACAAGAAAATGACATACAAAAATAAGAAAGAAGACGCTGGGAAAATCGATACTCTACATTTTTTTCTTCTTATTTTTATAATTCTATTAAACTATTTTAATAAACTATATATGATATTATTCAAATTGCGTCGTTCTTTCAATTATCGTCTAACAAAGTCCATGAAGAACATTTATCAGGTGATAGTCTTCTCATTTATGTAAGTTATTTCATGTAAATAATTTAATCGTCTCTTAAGTAATGTTCTAAGAAGATAAGTTTTTATAAATAATTAGACATGATAATGTCATGAGTTGTAGTCGTCGATAAAATGACGTATTTACCTACATATGAATAATCTAAGTTTATATTTTAACGAAAGAATATCAATACATTTTAGAAATAAGAGACAGATATATTCAGAAAATTGTATTGCATCATATTTGGATATTTGAGAAAAAAAATTCTTCTAGTAATTAGTTTTTTTTTGTATTTTAGTAATAACCCTTCACTTTGATATAAAGATGAATAATAATATTTTTATTTTTATGACCAGTTTATACTTAGACTTTCCTTTTTGAAATCTTGTAATCAACTTTTTGACAGTAATAATAAAACAAATGTATTATATAAATAACTGATTCGTCCACTTGTTAGTTTCTTCATATCCTTATATAATAAGTACTTAAACAACAACAATGTTTTATTATTTAAAAATAACAAAATATACTCTATCACATAGAAATAAAATAATTCTAGTAGTACTTTCTTTTATATTTATAAAATCTCACTATAGTAAATAAGCATTTTTCTTTTTCTTTCTATTTTTATTATAATATTAATGTATACATATTTAAATATATATATATATTCAGTAAAGCATGTTGAGTTTCTTAATTATAAAAGATTTACAAGTAGTTTTACATGATAAAGAACTAGATATATTTTCATTCATGAGAGCAAAAAAGAAACTATCTATAGTCTCATCTCGACTCTTATTTCCAATTAGAATTATTTCAAGGTATTTTATCTTGAGTTAAATAAACAGTAACTAGTGAAGCGTTAATTAAGATGGAGTACGCATGCGATATGAACTACTATATTGTTAGGACTTAAAATGCATGAAATAGTTCTAGAAAAAATTATAACGCACCACACGTTGTATATAACTAGAGGATAGAATGAGATTTATTTGCAACGCATGTTGACGATGAAGATCTTTTGTGCATCTATTTAGCTATTCATTGTCTATTCATACATAATGAGAATAGCGATGTTACCGAAGATCTATCTAGTTGTTTTTTGTTCGGAGAAGCAAAATCAATTAATTTTTATATTCTTAAGAATGAATCAGAAGAAGAAAACAAAATTCTAAATATAGATTTCTGACGTTGTCTATCTCATTATTTTTCTTTTTTGAATGAAAATGTTTGGTTTCACGATTCATTATCTAACTATTTTCTAATAAAGATCAAGAGACAAAGAAAAAAAAGAAATTTTCTTTTATTTGTACTAGTGGCATTTTTGTTTTTTCCCCATAGTCTTCGCCTATGTGAGTTTTATAAGGTACGAGCAATAGTCGATTATTTAATTAATTTTCTCACTGTAAATATATTTTTGGTAGAAGAACGCCTAGTGATATATACATACTTACAGTAAGTCGTTATTTTATTTTTTGAGAGCTTTGTATTAAACCCATTGACCTAGAAAATAATTATTTGTTTATATATGCATAGATATATGCTAATATATACATATTTATATATGTAACTAACATAGTCAAATCATGTATCGATTGTTTTGATGAGAATTTTATTTCATCAATCATATTAACTATGTGTCATAATGTAAGATTACTTAATTCGTTTAATAAAGATTAATTATTGAAATGATATTATTATAAACATGATTTATACAAGTCAGGCAAGTGTTTTGTTTAAGAAATAAATATTGTAAAGTGTATAAAAAAGAAGCTTTATTTAGCATGTTTATATTAATTAAATAAAAGAATTTTGATGATGAGAAACAGAATTATAGTTTTTTAATAGGCAATATTATTTTCATATTGAATAGTAGACATAATCAAGATGAAGGCGAGTCTTAATAAAACAATTTTTAATGTCACGTCATATTATAAAATATGCAGCTGGAAGATGCTTGTTATTTGTCATCGATTTTTTTTCTCATATTTTATCAATCTTATATAAAATAGATGTATGCTTTTTTCAGTCTTCTCCTTTTTATCTAACGTCGTTAGTTCCCCTGTGAAAATGTTCGGTTTCCCAGATCAATGACGTACATTTATAAACATTTTATAGTTATTTATTACTAAGACATAAAAGAAAATAAGAGAAATATGTCATTTTTTATATCGATAAGAATGAAAAAGGAGTCATTTTTATATAATGATAGATCCATTGTCACTAATCGAACGTGTATATACAGACTATGTTAGTTATTATTACCGTTATTCTATCTCTTTAGTCAGATGTGATAGTTACTGACAATTAAGTAATGAACATAAAAATATATTTATTATAACTGCGCCTTGATGTATTTATTGAATTAATAATTTTGTTACAATTTCCAGGCATTATATAATATGTGAGACTAATGGTGACGTCTTAATATACAGGAGACATGCTATTGACAGTCGACAAACATTTTTAAGATAAGACGGAGTTAAGCTTAAATGCCTCAGGATGTTTGTCTTTATTTTTCCCTTTCTAAATAACAATTATTTTTCTTTCCTGTTTCATGAAAAACTTTTATTTTATATTAAAAATTTTTTATTTTTCTGATATTTTTGTTCATTTGATAGAGTGCACAAAGTAGAGCTTCAAATTAGTTAATAACAAATTTGATTCATACACTACAAAACCGGATATTCTTAAAATAATTATTTATTTTTTTTAGAGTAAATTACTTGGTTAATCAATCTTATTTTCCAGTTAAATTATAGGTATGAATTAGAGCGCTGCAGACTCGAGTTTTTTAATTACGATTACAACTTCGACTCCGATTCCGAGAAGAAATTCCAGTTAATTCCGACTCGGAAAAACTTTTTTGTAGTGTAGCGATAAATAGAAAGACTAAGCATTGCGAATGAACAAAATTATAAGTAAATATGATGTTGTTAAGTTATAGAACTTCTTTCTTTTCATTTTTTTAGTAGAAAACAGTGAAAAACATCTTTCTGAGAAAGAAACAAACAATTTAATTAGTCTTCCAATTGGAGTCCGATATTGACTCCGAAAAATATTTTTTCGCGATTCCGACTCCAACACAGTCGGAATCGAGTTTCGGTGGGCGGTGCAGTGCTCTAGTATGAGTATATTTTTACCTTCTAACATCAATGAATGAACCTACAAAAAAATTATCTGCATCGTATATTATGTAAAATTTATTTTTAATTATACATATACGATTGTCTTCTATAATTAAAAAAGTAAAGTATATATTCAGATTTTATATAAAATATAACTTCATAAGAAATAAATAATTAGTATTTTTTTTGTCAAGTTGATGTTTTACTAGAAAATATCTTTATATTTTTTAAATATTCCTATATTTAACAAAGCTAATTTTATACCTACTTGTCATTTTTTTCTTCTTCTCTTGCAGAAGACATTTATTTATAAAACAAAGGACTTATAAATACTCATTTTTTTAGATGTTAAAATAATGTAATTTAATTCGAACTTATGGATTTCAATCAAACAAAGTTTGATCGTGATTGTTCTCAAATTGGTGAATTTTCTCAATCTATTTTAACAAAAGAATTTCGTTTTTCACCTACTATAACAATAATAATATATATTACTTATTTATTACCATTTTGTTTTGGTGTATTTGGTAATATAAGTGTATGTCTTATATTTTTCCAACAAAAAAAATTACGTTCGATTACAAACACATTTTTAATGAATTTATGTATGTCAAAATTTGTTTTTCTAAGATAGAATTTTGTTTACTAAAGTATTATCTTTATCTAGGTTTAAATGATTTAATCGTCTTATGTGTTTCAATTCCAATGACATTATCCAATGCTTTACTTAAACATTGGATATTTGGTTCATTTCTTTGTAAAATTGTTCATTTTACTCCAACAGTAACAGCACTTGTATCAACATTTACTGTTGCTGTTATAGCAGTTGAACGATGGTTTTTTATTGTTAATAAACAAAAATTTGATCGTCGTTGTACAATAATAACATTAATTTTACTTTGGCTTGTATCGATAATAATAGCATTACCAGAATATATTTCAAGACAATTGGAAGAATTTGTTCCACATGCAGTTTTACGACAAATGATGGGAAATAATACATCATTCAACCATAAAATGTATAGTAATAATAATACAAATCTATTCATGAATTATGATATGATTAAATCTCCATGTAAAATGAAGAAAATTTATTATTGTCTCGTTAAACCTGGTATACGGAATCGTATATTTTCTTATATTGTTATTACTGTACAATATTTAGTACCATTTTTATTTGTATCCATAAGTTGTTATTCTATCAGTCGTTTTCTTAAACGACGTATGATTCGTATGCGTTCATATCAAAATCAAAAACGATTTATTCAAGATACATCAAAATCTACGAAAAAAAAATCATTAGATATACCAGATGAAACTGAACAAGAAGCAACAAGTTTAGATGATATACCATCAGCGGGGATAACAAATGATAATAAATCAAATTATTTATTACATTGTTTTCGTCAAACATTTCAACAACGTGAACAATTAAATTATCATCAAAATTCATTAAATTTTGTCGAACAACAACATATGTTAAAATATCAATCACATACAAAACGACGTTTTCATCGAAGTAGAAAATTACTTATATATGTTGCAGCACTTTTTACTATCTCATGGTTACCATTAACAATTGTACAAATTTATTCCGAACATAATGAAGAAACATTATATAAACGTTATGGACCCAATTTTGTTTATGGATATTTATTAATACCTTGTTATTTAATCTCATCATTATCAGCATGGATTAATCCAATAATTTATAATTATATTAATCGAAGTTTTCGACGAGAATTTTATTCACTTTATTCCTGTTGTTTTAAAGGATCATCAACAACATCTCGAAAAGAATCAACATCAATTATATTAAAAAGACAACAAACAGGACGAGCTCATAATGGTGAAGTTAATACGACATTATCAACTCGTTTAACACTTAAACAAAATACTCATGGTGTAAATTTTGCTGACCAAACAGTTGTCATGATGCATAAACAAACTTAAATTTTCTTCTTTTCTTTGTACAAAAAAAATTGTTGTTTTATCTATACATTTATGTGATTATATATATATATATTTTTTGTCTTGTTATAAAATTTTAAATATCTAATATTTAATCAGAATACGATGATATCATCACGAACTGTTGCATCATTCTATATACGTATCGGTCATTCGATCAAAGTAAATGTATATTCATTCGTTCTTTGGCCCTATTATTATTATTATCGTGAGTAAGAAAGAAAGAAAAGCATAGTACAAGCTTTGTGAGAATAAGAGTATATGTATAACCATACGGTTCTTTCTCTCAACGATAAGTGAAGCGCAGCGACGACGATATTCTCGCATTCTCGACCATCATCCATCGTTCTTATTCGATTTTTGTGTTGGTTAGTACTATATATATAAGGGTTACGCATTGTATTATATTACGGGTCATTGAGGTGATTTTTTGCCTTTTTCTTTATATACGCGTTATCGTTAAAGCATAGACACTAACGTTCAGTTTGTGTAATTGAACAATGTCTGTACGCGAACTTTTTTTTCTATTTGGATGGCTTATTACAAATACTTATGGTGAAAGTTTAAGACCACCTTATTTAAATCTTGCTCGGGAAAAACATATAACTGTAGCAGCTACATCAACATGTGGAGAATTTATTGATAAACAAAATCGAAATAAAACAAAATATAAAAAAGAATTATATTGTAAATTAACTGGTTCATCACCTTATGAAAAAGATTATAAGGATTCAAATTTAATCTATGGACAATATTGTGATTATTGTGATCCAAGTGTACCAGATAAAAAACATATTGTTAATTATACAATTGATGGAACAGATCGATGGTGGCAGGTAAAAGAAAATAAATTAAAATCATAATCTTGTATTCTTTTTTTTTGCTTTTATGTCTAGTCACCACCATTATCACGTGGTCTTGAATATCAAAAAGTGAATATAACAGTAGATCTTGGTCAAGAATATCATATAGCATATATATATATTCGTATGTCAAATTCGCCTCGACCAGCTGTTTGGTCATTGGAACGTTCAACTGATTATGGAAAGACATTTTCAACATGGTACTATTTTGCTAGTGATGTTGAATGTCGTACAGTATTTGGAGTGCAACCATTCGTCAATCGTTCATTTACACGAGATGATGATGTTGTTTGTGAAACAAAATATGCCAGTCGTATACCATTAGAAGGGTAAATTTAATCTTTTATTGATTAATAAAACAATTGCTATTTCTAGAGGTGAAATGGTTATATCATTAATAAATGATCGACCAAATAGTAAAAACTTCTCCTATAGTGATACTTTACAACAATGGACACGTGCAACAAATGTTCGTTTAAGATTACTTCGACCAACAACATTACATTCTCATTCAATTATTCATGATAGTCATGATAAATCAGTAACAAGAAGATATTTTTATTCCATCAGAGATATTGGTATTGGTGGACATTGCCAATGCAATGGTTAGTTCATAAAAAAATTTTATTTTATAAGTTATATCATATTAAAATAAGTAATGACGAGCTCGTTTCTATTCGTTAGCAGATATTTATCAATATAGTCATACATCATTTGTCTATTAATCTATTATAAAAATCTTTAGGTCATGCTGAATCATGTGATAAACCTCATTCAAAAAGTCCAAATAAAATGGTTTGTCGTTGTCGACATAATACATGTGGTGATTATTGTCAAGAATGTTGTGAACCATTTGTACAAAAAAAATGGCGTCAATCACGTGATGCTGATGCATTTGAATGTGAACCATGTCAATGTTATGGTCATTCAAGTGAATGTGTTTATGAAGAAAAAATTGCTGAAGAAAAATTAAGTATTGATATACATGGAAAATATGAAGGTGGTGGACGTTGTCTTAATTGTGAACATCATACAGAAGGTATCAATTGTGAACGATGTGTACGTGGATATTTTCGAAATTTTACACGGAAAGTTAGTGATGTTGATATGTGTCAATCATGTAAATGTAATTTAAAAGTTTCAACGGGTACTTGTGCAGAAGGCACAGGTAAATGTGAATGTAAACCACAATTTGCTGGATTAGAATGTGATGAATGTGCAGTTGGATATTTTGATTTTGCTGCTGGATGTAAACCATGTTTATGTTCAATTAATGGTACAGCTGATCATAAATGTTTACCAGATTCAGGTCGTTGTGTATGTAAAATGAATTTTGATGGAGATTATTGTGATCGTTGTGCACCAGGATATTATAATTTTAAAGCTGGTTGTCTTCCATGTGAATGTGAACGTGCTGGTAGTGATGGAAATATTTGTGATACTGAAACTGGGTAAGATAAAATAAAAAAATCATTAACAAAAAAAAATATTATCTTATTTATTTTTAAGACAATGTCCATGTCGATTAAATTATCAAAATCGAACATGTGATACATGTAAAAATGGTCATTATGGTTATCCAGGTTGTTTACCGTGTGTATGTAATCATAATGGTATGAATAAAAATTCAAAAATAAATATAAATAATATTTCTATATTATTTTGTTAACTAGGTTCAACACCGGAAGTATGTAATAAAGATACAGGTGCTTGTTTATGTAAAGCGAATTTTACTGGACATACCTGTGAACAATGTGCAGCTGGATTCTTCAATCATCCAACATGTGAACCATGTGCTTGTGATTTAACTGGAGTTATATATGATGGTTAGTTTTTTTTAACATTGAAATATTTAGATATAATAATAGTTATATTCTTTTCTTTTCTTAGCATGTGATCAACGTGGTCAATGTCATTGTAAGGCAAATTTTGGTGGACGACAATGTAATCAATGTGCACCTGGTAAAGACAAAAAAAGATTTTTTTTTTATAAAACTAATATTATTTTTCAAAGGTTATTTTCGTTATCCGGATTGTGTTCCATGTTCATGTGATATGCATGGATCATTAGGTTTAAGTTGTGATCAAACGACAGGACAGTGTGTATGTAAAAGTAATTTTATTGGTGAAAAATGTCAAGAATGTGCACTGGGTATAAACTTTGAAATTTTTTTTCTCAATTAATTTTACTTTTTTTTTCTATTTATTTTTAAGGATTATTTAATTTTCCATATTGTGAAGAATGTAAATGTGTTCCAGCTGGTGTACGAAATGATTTTCCTGGTTGTGGTCGACATAATATTCCAGGTGTTTTATGTTTATGTAAACAAAATGTTGAAGGAAGACAATGTGATCGTTGTAAAGAAGGTTTTTGGAATATGAAAACATCAAATCCACTTGGTAAACTGAATTAAGAAAATCTTTATATATTTATTTTGTTTTGCTTCTATAGGATGTGAATCATGTGATTGCTCTGATTCGGGTACAATAGCTCATTTAAATACTTGTGATTCAACAACAGGTCAATGTCCATGTAAATTAACTACACAAAATTCGACTGTACGTTGTGATGTATGTGCTGATGGTTATTATTCATTAGCACGTAATAATGTTTTTGGTTGTGAACCATGTCGATGTTCACTTGGTGGTTCATTACATAGTATATGTGATAAACAAACGGGACAATGTGTTTGTCGCCCATCAATTGTTGGTCGTGAATGTAATCAACCAGCATTAGGACATTTTTTTCCAAGTTTACATCATTTACAATATGAACTTGAAGATGGTTTAACAGTAAAACATCAAACACCTGTTCGTTATGAATTTGATTCAAGTGATTTTGAAAATTTTTCATGGAAAGGTTATGTTAGATATTCATCATTACAATCCGAAGTACAATTACATATACAATTAATTAAACCAACTGCTTATCGACTTTTAATTCGTTATAAAACATATAATAAAACATCGATGGATAGTAATAATTTAGATTATAAATTACCACAAATAAATGTAAATTTTGCATCAATACGAGAGACAGGTACAGCAGCACCACAAACATTTGATATTGATCTACCACAATCTGATCGTCAAGCAACATTTGCTACGGCTAGTACACTTTTAACAAGTGATGCAGCACCCTATAATGAATATTTATTAACATTAAAAACAACTGATCCAGTTTTAATTGATTATATTGTTTTTGTGCCTATTGATTATATTGAAGCTCAAGCACTTCAGCAAACTGATGCATTTGCATATGGTCGTCCATGTGAATTAGATGATGAAGAAGAATGTTATCAATATACTTATCCAGTATTAAATGGTATGTCAAGTATAAGTCATCCATCATCAGGTTCAACACCAAATGGTATTGTTATTGATTCCAATCTTCTTGAAGAATTATCAATTGATTCATTAACAACTATTGAACGTGGTCGTGATTATCGTTATGATTGGATTATATCAAAACCAGGTCAGTATTATCTCCTAGTTGATTATCATACTATTGATGCTGGAACATCCTATGCTCGAGTTCAAACAATTGATGGAGATATGATGCCTGGATCATTAGTATTAACTGAATGTCCATATACATTTGTATGTCGACAAATGGTAACTACATTAAGTAATGGTGGTAATCAACGTATAAGTAAACCAAAATTAATGACTGTTACTGATACGCGACGTGCAACAGTTATATTAAATGTTGTTCAACAATCTGATCGAAGTAGTCCAATTGGTATACATAAAATAACTGCTGTACCTATGAATCAATTTAATTATGATCTTCTTCGACCACAATTTATATGTGTACGTGGTACATCAGATGATGGTCCACATGGTTTACCAATATGTAGTGATTCAAATAAACCATTAGGTAGTTCATTGACAGCACCAGTTCAAATTTTTCAAGCTGAAGATTATTATAATGAACATTTAAAAACAACAAATTTTCCAAATGCACCAGAAAATACTGCTGTTGTTCCATTAAGTTTTTCTACACCAAATATCTATGTTTATGGACGTTTAACTGATGTTTATACTAAAACAGAAAATTATCCAGCTTTATTTCAATTTCATATACATTATTTTCAATCAAAATCTTATTCAATATCGGATACAATTCCATTAACTGTTATTTTTTATAGTCGTACAGGTGATAGTCAAATTGGTGAAATTAATGCACCAATATGTCAACGATTTACACAAGGTGGTTGTTCACAAATAGTTACACTTCAAAATGGTTCAACAGCTATAAGACTTGATGAACCAGAATTTACTGCTTATTTAGCATTAACAAATCCAAATACATCATTACTTATTGATTATATTACAGCTCAAAAAATTGAACCAAATGCAGAAAAAGTTGTAACACCAGTATTAACTACAGCTGATACTGATCGTGCATCAAAATTTGTTCAAGATTGTATAACAAAATCAGCACCTAATTATGATCCTAAAATTCAACAAGCAAGTTCATTTTGTCGTCAAGCACTTTATTCTTTATCGGCAACATTTAATGATCAAGCATCTCAATGTTTATGTGATGTACGTGGTTCAGTAAATCCAAATGGGCAATGTGAACCTTACGGTGGACAATGTTCTTGTAAACCTAATGTTATTGGTCGACGATGTGATCGTTGTCGAACAGGATATTGGGGTTTTCCAAATTGTCGACAATGTACATGTCCAACAAAGATATGTAATGAATTAACAGGTGATTGTATTTGTCCACCAAGAGTTACAGGACGTTATTGTGATCAATGTGCTCCACGAACATATGGTTTTGGTAAGTTATTAACATATTGATGTATATATGTATTCTAATATCTTTATCTTTTTTTCAAGATCCATTAATTGGTTGTGAAGATTGTCAATGTCGAATTGAAGGTGTTATTAATGGACGTCTTGATTGTGATCTTCGAACAGGTCAATGTCCATGTCGTGAAAATATTGGTTCTCGAACATGTGATCGCTGTGCTCCAGGTATATAAATAATCAAATAGAATTAAAAAAAACTTTCTATCTATCTATATATATATTACAATAGGTCATTATGATTATCCACGTTGTATGAAATGTGATTGTGATACAGCTGGTACACTTGAACCTATATGTGATACATATACAGGTACTTGTTTATGTAAAGAAAATGTTTATGGTCCACGATGTGATCGATGTACGGATAGTACATTTGCTTTATTATCTGATAATCCAAAAGGTTGTACAAATTGTTATTGTTTTGGTTCAACAACACAATGTCATTCAGGTTTATTTAATTATCGTTTTATTCGTAATATGTCTGATTGGTCATTAACACGATCTGATGTACGTTATGATCGACGTGAAACACGTTTAACAATGTTTATGAATTATGATAATAATGATCAATCAGCAATATATTGGTCAGCACCAAGACATTATTTAGGAAACAAAATTCTTTCCTATGGAGGAAATTTAACATTTAAATTAAGTTATACATCAACAACAAATAATTATAATCAAATATTAAATAAACATCCATTAGTTATACTTCGTGGACGTGATTTAACAATTGTTCATTATTATACACGACCAATAGAAGCAAATCGTCCTGAAGAAGATATATCAATTACATTGAAAGAAGCTAATTTTCGTTTTCAAACACGTTCATCAACGGCTGTTACACGTGATACATTTTTACAAACACTTAGTAATATATCAAGTTTACATATTCTTGCATGGCCATATTCAGTTGATTCAACATCAAGTTCAATTGTTGCTGTTCAATTACAACAAGCTGATTTAAAATCAGTCAATAATATATCACCACAACGTCCATTAGCACGTAATATTGAAGTATGTTCATGTCCACCAAATTATGCTGGTACATCATGTGAAACATGTGCACGAGGTTATTTTAAACAATACAGTGGAACAAATGGTGCACATAGTTATACATGTGTACCATGTCAATGTAATGGACAAAGTGATATATGTGATGTTGAAACTGGCCATTGTTTAGCATGTCAAAATCATACATTGGGAACATATTGTGAAACTTGTATACCGGGTTATAATGGTGATCCAGTACGAAATATTTCATGTCGTATCTGTTCATGTCCATTACCAGTGGAATCAAATAATTTTGCATCAACATGTGAAATCAACGCAACAACAGGTGATACTACAAGATGTTTTTGTCAACAAGGTTATTATGGTGATAGATGTCAATCATGTTATCCAGGTATATATTTTGAATTGATTGAGAAATAAATTTGACTTTATTCTATGCTTCTAGCATTTTGGGGTGAACCAAGTAAAGTTGGTGGTCGATGTTTACCATGTGAATGTAATTCAAATATTGATCCATATGATTGGAATGCTTGTGATCAACAAACAGGACGATGTGTTAATTGTCTAAATAATACAGCTGGACATTCATGTGAACGTTGTCGAGATTGGTTTTATGGTGATGCTATTCGAACAAAAAATTGTGCACCATGTTCATGTTCTCAATGTGGTTCGACTAGATGTGATCAAAGATCTGGACGATGTCAATGTAAACCAGGTGTAACTGGTCTTACATGTGATGTTTGTTTAGAAAATCATTATGGTTATCATGCATGTAATGATGAAGGATGTAAACCATGTTCATGTGGTTTAAGTAGTATAGGACCATCATGTGATCTTTATACAGGTCAATGTCAATGTAAACCTGGTGTTGGTGGAAGGTAAACTTTAAATAGTGTTAATTTTTGTATTTAATATATATATTATTTAGAAAATGCGATGTATGTTTGCCAGGTTATTGGGATTTAACTGAAGATGGATGTAAACCATGTCAATGCGATCGATTTGGAACAGTACGAGATTTAAGCAATACAGGATTGAGTTGTGATGCAGAAACAGGTCGATGTTATTGTATTGAAGGTGTTCGTGGAGAACGATGTGATCAATGTGAAGAATATTATACAATTGTTGAAGGTTAGTAATGAATTCATATATCAAGAATTTTATCTTTAATCCTTTGATTTCTTTCAGGTCGTGGTTGTCTTCCATGTGATAAATCAAATATTGTACCTGAAGGTTGGTGTGCTCGTCAATTAATTGATGATGTTGATCAATTACGTATAAATATTAATCGAACACTTGATAATGCTGATCGAATAATTCAAGGTCGTACAGCTAGTGAACGTATTCAACGTATGCGTTTACGTGCTGATGAATATCGTTCACTTGTTAATAGTCCAAATATAAGAAATTACCGATGTTTATTAAATGAAAATCCATCGAGTTCATTTTGTCTCAATGATCAAATTGTTAATTTAACCAGTCTATTAAATGAATTCGATCAAGATTTTAAACAAACACAAATTGAAATCAATCATGAACAAGATGAAATTAAAAATTTATCAAGACGTGCACAAAAAGAATATGAACGTGTACGTGAACAAGTTAAATTAATGCAAGATTTTGCTGATGATATTGATGCATTCTCAGCTAATTTAACACAGCAAAGAAATGATGATCCAACTTATATAGTTAATCTTATTGAGAGGTAAGTTTTAATCGAAAAATCTCTCTTATATTGTCTTGTTTTTTTGTTAATAGAGTTTACGCAACTATTGATCGATTTGAACTTGAACCTGAACAAAGTGTAATAAAAAATTCCAGTCAATTATCTTCTCAATTACATACTTATCTTCAATCATTAAATAATGATCTTAGTAATCATTTAAATGAAATTGATAAACTTAATAATCAAACATTTCATTTTGAACAACGTACAATACAAATGGAAAAACATATTCAACAAGCTTATGAAAAACTTCAACGTGTATCACAACAAATTACAACACTCGATAATACAATAAAATCAATACGTACAATATTAAAACAAAGTTCAGGATTAAACGAAGCAACAAATATAAAATTATCGAATACAACACAATTATTACAAAATGATTTAATGATAAATTTTAATCAATTACAAATGATCTATCGTCAAACATTAACAAATGCGGATAATTTAAATAGTTCCATACAAATTCTACTTTCAGTAGTTAATGAAACAATTGAACAAAATCGTATTGTTCATATAAGTGTTCGACAAGTATTTAATTATGTACAAAATTTAACAGAAACATCCGAACGTTTAGATATGTTATATGAAAATATGAAACAACAAAATAATGTTACATTATTAACTGTATTTGTTTATAAAAATATAATTGATACAGTTAATTTAGTCGATACAACTTCAACTGAATTAGCTAAAAATCTTTCAAAATCACAAGAACATATTGCTCAACAACGACAACGTATTGAAAAATTAGGAAAAGAACGATTAGATCAACCATTATTATCATCATTTGAAACAGAAATTAAATTAAATCTAAATGATGAACAACGTTTAGAACGTTTAGAACGTTCAGCTGAAAGTTATCGTCAATCATTAAGTACAAGTGAAAAATTATTACCAGCATATAATTTACGTATTGGTGAATTAAAATCAACAGCTGATAATGTTGAACCACATTCAACACGTATGTATGATGATAGTCAAGCAAAAACAAATGAATTTGCACGTTTACGTGAAAAAATTCTTGCTGAAAAACCTATGAATGCATCAACATTAAGTGATCGTCCATTACAAATGGAATTTAATGATATTAAACAATCGATTCAACGTATGAAAACTTGGGAATCAGATACAGATCAACAATTAAGTAAAGCAAAATATCGCTATGATGAAACAATAAATACTCAAGATAATATAGCTGATATTATAGCTGATATTCGTCGTCTTGTTGATGAATCACGTTCAATTGTTAGTTCAGTTCGTGTTGGAGCACAATTTAATCGTACAAGTGGTGTTAATTTACATAAACCATATAGTAAATCTTATGTTAATTTAAATAAACAACATTCAAAATTAGCACTTTCATTTCGTACAACTGAATCTGATGGATTATTAGCTTATGCTGGTAATGAAAATGATGATAGATATATGTCATTAAGACTTAATCAAGATGGACAAATTGAATTTACTTATGATGTTGGACAACAACGACCAACATCAATCATAACACCAAGATCATTTATTGATAATCAATGGTATGATGTTACAGGTGAAAGAATTGGTTCACATGGTCAACTTACTGTTGTTGATATTAATGGTACAGATGTATTTGTTGGTACAAGTGATGCTGAAAGTGGTGGACAATCAATACTTGATTTACATGATGAACGATCTGTATTTTTAATTGGTGGTGTACCATCACAAATATCATTGAAACAAACTTATCCAGCATTTTCTGGTTCAATATCAAATGTACGTCTTGATGATCAAAGTGTTAGTTTATGGAATTTTCAATCGGCTATGAATTATAATCAAGGTTCAATACCATCAATAATTCACCGTGAATCTGTACCTGGTTTTAGTCTTAAAGGTGATGGTTATGCAATATTTTCTAAACGACGTTTACGTCGTCTTGAACATTCATTTGTCTTAACAATTATATTTAAAACAAATTCACCCAATGGTCTTCTATTTACATATGGTGGTGGTGATTTTGAAAAACGTTTTTTTGCTGTACAAATTATTGATTCACATCCAGAAATTCTTATTAATACAGGTAGTGGTCTTGTTAGTTTACGTCTTGAAGATAATGTTCATGATAATCAATTACATCGTTTACAAATAAAAAAACAAAATACAGAAATTATTGTACAACTTGATAATCAATTATCGGAATCAATAACTGATCGTGATGAAGAATCACGTATTGAAGGTGGTAATGATGATATTTATGTTGGTAAATATATTGGACTAGATTCATTACGTGATACAATAACAAGTCGAGGTTTTAGTGGTTGTATACAATCAATTCTTATTGATCGTATTGAATTAACATTTAAATCTGAACATTTTAAACGTAGTGAAAATATTCAAACAACATGTTCTATTGAACAAATTTTACGTACAGTACAATTTAATTATCATTATGATCAAGAAAGTTATGTTGAAATATCCGATAAAAATTTAACAATACCATGGGCTATAACAGCACGTTTTCAATCGAATCAACAAAATGGTACATTAGTATATATGAATAATGAAAATGACAATATCGATAAATTAATAATTTATTTTGAATTCAATCATCTTATGATTAAACATAAAGATTTACCAATAATACAATGTGAAAATAGTTTATCAACAAATTGGTGGAATTATATAAGTATTTATCGTGATACACAATCATATCGTTTATATTTAAATGATACAGAATGTGGTAAATTAGATATTGAAAGTGAATATAATGATTATCAATTATTTAAAACAGTATTTATTGGTGGTGTACCACAAAATGTATCAGAGGATACACAACGTTTCTTTGGATGTATTGGAGATGTTAATATAGATGGTTCATTAGTTAATTTTAATAATGTTGTTAAATTAAAAAATACGGAACAAAATTGCCCAACCATTGCATTTACTAGTAATAATAATAACAATAATAAATATAATAATAAAGGATCAGTAGTTTATCCACCATTTGAGTATAATGCTACGAAACCAACATCTTCTGATAGATTTCAATTAAAATTACTTCAATTTAATGATGATTTCAGTAATTATAGTATAAATAGTTCTATATTACCATCGATTGATTTACTTACGTCTTCAACTATTCAAATTAAAAATGAAACAAAAGTATCGAATGATGATGATGATGACGAAGAAGATGATTATTCATCTCGTCAACATCGTTCATGTAATTTACCTATGAAACCTTCGAATAATCGTGGTCAAGATATCGGCTATAGATTTGGTGATGATCATCGAGAAAGTCGTGGACAAATAACAATATCAGAACCATCAACTAGTCTATCAATGAATATTTCATTTAAATTCCGAACACGATTTACACATGGTTTATTATTCTATTCAGGCAGTAATGGTAAATATTTTATTTAAAAATTAAAATTTTTTCTTTGATGATTTTATTCAGCTTTTGATTCTTCAATTTTAAATGAATTCATTGCTGTATGGTTATATAAAGGTCGATTAGTTTTTGCTTTTGATTGCGGATCAGGTAAAGGTGAAATTGAAAGTATAAATCGAATCAATGATGATCAATGGCATCGTGTTGATGTTATAAGACATGGAAATAATGCAACTTTATATATTGATTTACATTCCGAAGGTTTTATTATTCCACCAGGTTAATTATTATTCTTAACTTCTAATAGAAAAAATTAATAAAATTATTTGAAAATTTTAGGTACAAAATTATCTTTAGATACAGATGGAATATATTATTTTGGTAATATACCATCGGATGAAACATTTCTTTTAAATCGTCGTCGTCAATTACATCATTTTAAAACTCGACATAATTATCTTCAATTTCAAGGTTGTTTAAGTACAATACAAATTAATAGTCAAGCAATAACATTTGATACAAATGTTAATAATGAATATAATTATAATATAAAAACATGTTATGAATTTGAAGAATCAGGAGTTTTTATTAATGGAGAAAAAGAATTAATACTTGGTAAGAAAAAAAAGAATTAGGATTTTTTTGATAAATAATTTTTTTTTGTATAGAAAATTCATTTCGTCTTGGTCAACGATTCAATATTTCATTTCATTTTAAATCTCGTGTTAAAAGTGGTCTTCTATTGGCTGCAACAAATACTAATGAAGATAATTATTTATTTATTTATCTTGATAAAGGTAATATTGTTGTGACATTATTACAAAATAATATTGATGAAATTCATGTTGTTCATTGGCCAAATGATAATAATGATAATGAAATGTGTGATGGTCAATGGCATACAGTTGATATTCAAAAAGATCTAACATTTGTACGTTTACATGTTGATAAATATGATGCAGATGAAGAATTATTATTAAATGATTTTGATTTAAATACTAATGGACCATTATATATCGGTAAAATGAATAAATTACCACCTATTGTTGATGATATACCTGTATATATTGGTTGTATAACAAATATGAAAATAATTGCCATTGATAATGATAACGATGAACATAATTCAATTCGACATGCTAAAGCACTTCATTCAATTGATGGAATTGAATATTCATGTCCAATAAATTAAATTAAAATAAACTTTTTCCATTAGATAATGTGTCTCTTTTCTGTTCTTTTAAAAAAACCGAGGAAAATTGTAGAATAAGGATTGTATTTGTTCGATTAAAAAATAATAAATAATACTCAAGAATCATAATTATTTGTTGTATAGCAAATAGAGAATTTTACTGAACAGCTGTTAGCTATCTCATGCTCAAGATTATCAAAAAAAAAGTAATCAGTTTTGATACTTTGATTATAAAATTATTATTCGCTGCACAGATTCCAACGATAAAGTGTCAAAATGTTATAAAAGTCTGCGTCTTGTAATACTCTTGAATGTAGTTTTTAAAAGTTAGTCATGTTTAGGGTGCGGCGGTTCCATAAAAATGGAACCGAAAACCGAACCGGAACCGCAGTTCCGGTTTTTTTTAGGAATCGCCGTACTCCAGTCATGTTGTCACTAACTGAAACTTGTTCTAGAGTCTTGCGTAAATTATTTTTACGCTTTCGTTTAAAATTAAGAACAGTTTATCTATAATAATATTTTATTTACTCCTTATTTTTTTTAAATGAAGTAATATTTCGAGAAATTATTTTATTCAGTTGTTATCATCAGACTTAAATTATGTATTTAGAAGGAAAAAGAATTTTAATTTTCAATTTAATTAATATTCATTTAAAATTTATTTTTTATTGTCAAGCAAGTGACATGACCTGATGATGTTAAAAATACTATCAATTATGAAATAATTCTAAACTAATTCATTTTTTTTATATAAATAAGTCAATAGACGTTAATAATTCTTAAGGATGTGGGTGTGGGTATTATATTCGTCTCGCACCCACATCCTATTGTTGAAAACAATGTTAGTTATTTACCTTTATTATTATCATGATATTTATATACCCACATAATATTTATTAATAATACTTTATTTTGTGTATTAGAAAATATAGAAATATTTGAATGAATAATTTATTAGATACAGAATGAATCCATCCTAAGACATACATTAATAATTCTTAGATAGTCAACATCATATATATATTCAATCGAACATTTACCAAAAAAATGATTTTTTCATATCAACAAGCCATAAAAAGATAAGTATATAAACTTTTATCTTGCTTTACGTTAAAAAATACAACTTATATTTAATCGAGTACACTTGAATATAGAGATAACGTATTTTTCTTATCAGTTTTGTCATAAGACTCAAACGACTTTAGCGACATCATTTCTTATTTGCTCGCTAGTTTCTCTTTTTCGATACTATACTTAACGTACAAACATCGAAATCAAATAATGATTATTTTATTATAATAAGAATATTTTCGATTGAGGCTTACATTTTCTCGTAATAATCATATTTGTTTGGTTCGTAGAATGAAGAATTCAAGCCAATAAAATGATACTATAATGATCCATATTTTATTATTCTATGGACGAAAAATACTACTAATAGTAACACCTGCGTATGTACGAAATAAGTAAAAATAGCTTTGTGTAATCGACTCACGTGCTTACATATCTCTCCTTGTTGTTTTATAATCATAGAAAAATACAAAGCATTTGTCAATTATATTTTTTTTTAAGATCTAATAATCAATTAAATTTTTATATACTATCTTACTTTGTTCTGTAAAGAACACGAGGTATTATGCCAAACGAAACAGCCATATCGAATCCTACCAGCTGTCCAGCTTGGCAACAATCCTCAGCAACAACAAATTCAAATACTAATACAATTGATACACCACCTGATTCTGCTATTTTACCGGTAAGATATTTCGGTTCTTAATTATTTTTCATATATTTTAAAATTATTACAGCCAAAAGATTGGCCAAGTCTTGCTGAAGCAACTGATGAACAAGTAGTTTCATCACAACCAAATACACCTCGAACACGTAATAGAAAAGGTAAGAGAAATTAGAAAGAAAATCGATTCTATTCTAAAGCTTTTATCTTAGGTAAACAAAAATGGGTTCCATTACCATTCGATAATACTGAAGGTGATACAACAACAACAGTACCACCAACTACTCCTCAGGCTAATACAAAATCAGGTACATCAAAAGGAAATCGTACTGGTCGAAATGCTCGTAATGGACGTGGTGGTAATCGAATTCGTACACGTAGTCTTGATGGAGCTACACCTAAACGAAATCGAAAGAATCGACCAGCAGCGACTGCTTATAATAATGGGTATCAAGATTATTATGCTTACTATTGTATGTTATAATAATAGAGATTTTAGTCTGATAATGGTTGTTTTTTTCTTTGTTTAGATTACGATCCAAATGGAAATGCAGTAAAATGGTATCCTGATAAACAGGGTAAACGAAAGAAGAAATCTGAAGGATTAATTGGTACTGAATTAACTGAAGAAGGAACAGGTAAAATATCATTTTGACATCTGATAGATAAGTGGAAACATAAATCTAAAATATTAAATCTACTTAATGAATAAGTGATGAATGATGATATTATAGTTGTACTAGAAGGAACTGATTTGTTACGTTATCTATTAAATTCATCATTCAATTTTGTACTAATCTAATAATACGCATTATCCATTTCCATTTCTATTACATTATGTGCTGAAAAATTTAAAGTACGTAAAATATATGAAATGTTGAAGTTTATAAAACACGATTGATATCAAAAATACACTTAATATAAGCATATAAGAATTCATATATATATACATCTGTATAGAAAAAAACTAATTTTCTTATTATATACTTACTAATGAAATTCGCTTTCGGTTTATTCCAGGTACTACTAATAATCAAATACGCGATGTTCATAAATTTATATTTGATGATGAAGCTGTTGTTGTTGATGATTGTTCTTTTGTATTACCCTATATCGAAAGTACTTATTATTATCAACCGACAACTCCATCGCCAACTTCAGACATGTCTTTAACTAATTCTAATGAATATGCAAATTCGCTTATACCTGCTTATACTGAACAACAATTAAAAGAGCTTCTACGACATCAAGTGTAATTATTTATTCGCAAAAGAAAAATTTCATTTAGAAAAAATTATTTTTATTTTATTTTTAGTGAATATTATTTTAGTCCAGAAAATCTTGAAATTGATATATTTCTTCGACAACAAATGACTAAAGATGGTTATATACCACTTTCACTTATTGCAAATTTTAATCGTGTTCGATCCTTATGTGATAATGTTCATTCAATAGCTGATGTTAGTTTATAATAAATTATTATTTTCTTTTTTAAAAATAAAAATTCATCTATTTTTAGGCAGTTCAAGATAGTCGTGTTGTTGAACTCAATGATCAATGTATGATACGCTGTCGAATTGAACCAACTCGATGGCCAATAATAGTTGATACAAATAATCATTTAATAGAATTGAATCCGGATGTTCCAGATTTTCAACCAGGGAAAATATGGAAAACTGAAAGTCAAAGTATGAAAGATGAATCAAATGTATTAGAAAAAGAGGATAAAAGTGAACTTAATTGGAATCAAGTATCAGCGAAAAGAAAAAAACCAATAAAGAAAAAGGTTTTAAATTAATTTATAAATATTCGAATTTAATATTTTATTATTATTTATTTATTTAGGAAAAAAAAGAACAACAAGCTCAAATTGTACCATCAGAAGACGTATTAAAACGAGATAGTCGTGAAGAATTAGATTTTCAATTTGATGAAGAATTACCAAATAAACAAGCAAATGTACTAACATTTGCTCCACAAAATCGACGTCGAACTACATCATTAACATTAGATTTACATGAAGCAAAGTAGGTCAATTTATTTTTCTATGAGATTGTTTTTTTCTTACTATTTCTATACGTATTTTAGTCAAGATGAAGATTCAGATTTTGAATTAGATGATAATGATATTAGTAAACTTCTTATCATAACACCAACACCACCATCAAATCGTAAACATAATGCGAAAAATCAGGAACATACTGGTGAATTTACACCACGAGCACGAATGACAGCTGAAATAGCTAAAATTATTAATGATGGTTTGAGACGTTATGAAGAAGAATTATGGCATCATGATCGACCAAAATCAGGCGCAGAAAAAACAGTGACACTAATAAGTCAAGATGAAATGAATGCTATAAGAAATAAAGCACAGAAAAATGCTGGAAAGAAAAAAAATACTAATACAGGTGAAATAACAAATCAAAATACTCAAGTACAAACTGAAAAAGGTAAATATCTAATAAGAAAGCTTTTAATAGTATTCAATTAATATACATTTCTATCTTTTTAGCAAATAGTACATCCACTGCAACAAATAAAAATCAGCCTCGTAGTCCAGCTATTGCTATTGTTCGCTCAAATAATTGCCCACCACCACAACTTGAACCATTCTATCGTCCAAAACATTTACCTGGTGCGAACCAACAAAATGTATCACATCCATCAACAAACGATTGTGTATCACATTCATTACCAAATAATCTACGAAAATCAAGTGACAGTAGTTCGATTGTACCACTTCCATCAATAACGGATATAAATGATACAAATCAAGTATCTGACAATCATCCTGAAGAACCACGAACACCTCATTCACGTGCAAAAAATATTGCTCGATTCTATCCAGTTACCAAAGATTCATTGGTTGTTAAAGCAGATGTAAAGATTAAAAAAATATTTTTGTTTTTTTGATATATGTTAAATTAAAATTTTTAGACACCTGGTTTAAAACGTAAAACACGTCATAGTGAACATCCACCGGTAGAAAGTTCAGTTGGTTGGGTATTTGATTCGCGTGATCATTTAACTACAAGACAACGAAGCAGTACAACAACTAATGCACCGTAAGAAATTTTATTTTTATCTCTCTACATATTCATTTGATGTGAACTTAATTCTAGTAGTCGACAACAAGATTTTTATGATCAATATCCATCATCATATAATGATTCACATTATTGGTATGGTAATAATCCAAATTCATATGATTTTTATGGTTCAACACCGGTAGAAATTCCTCAATTTCAACATCCATCTCATTCACTTTTACAACAAAATGGTTTTACTCAACAAGTTTATAATAAATATAAACAACAATGTCTTGATGGTAAAAAATGATGAGTTATTCATAGAATAATATTTACAAAGATATTAATTTTTTAGAACGTACTAAAGTTGGTCTTGGTCAATCCATGGAAATGAATACACTCTATCGTTTTTGGTCATTTTTTCTACGTGAAAAATTTAATCGTCGTATGTACGATGAATTTAAACAATATGCTGTTGAAGATGCAAAAGTTGATCATCGGTATAGTTATATTTGTTTATTTCAAAATTCGATTTTATTTTATATAATATAGTTATGGTGTTGAATGTTTATTTCGGTTTTATACATATGGTCTTGAGAAACATTTTCGTCAAGAAGTTTTTGAAGATTTTCAACGTGAAACTCTTCGAGATCATGAAGCTGGTAATAAGAAAAATGAAAAATAGAAAAAAAAAGAATTCAAAATCGTCTTTATATTTTAGGTCAATTATATGGTTTAGAAAAATTTTGGGCTTTTCTAAAATATTCTCGACAAAAACCAAAAATTAATCCAAAACTTGAAGAAATTCTCAAGAACTTTAAACGTCTGGAAGATTTTCGTGTTGATGGTGCTTCATTTCCACAACAATTCTATCCAACTAAATCAGGAATTATAGTAAAAGAAAAAATATTTTTATCTAATCTTAACTGATTGTTTCTTTTTCTTTTCAGACTGTTCCACCACCGGAAGCAGTTGCTGCTGCAGCAGCAAAGAACAGTGATACAACAAATTCATTGAAAACAACTGGTGAACATTTTCCAACTCGTCATCGTGGTCAACCACGACAACCGAATCGTCGGACAATCTCCGAACGTTGTTAAAATTCATGGATTTCAATTGTCTCCTCAAAACGGTGCTCGTATTTGTTTTTTTTCTTTTTCTTCTACTTTGTTTTTGTTCAAGTGGGTTTCGGTTTGTTTAGAGTATGCATGTTCTTCTTTTTTTTTTCTTTCTTTCAAGTTTCTTGTTATTTAAAGCTTTTTTTTTATGTATATATATTGCATTGGTTTGTTCTTGTAGTGGATAGATAGATTAAATAGTGATGCATTTTCGTATCAATGAAGATATGAATTTTCATGTCTTCCCTTTTTGTTTTGAAGGTATTTGCTAATAAACAAAACGTATTGAAAGAAAAAATAAATTAGATAACCCACGGCTTTTTGTGTTGTCTTTTAGAAGAAATAGGAATATGGCTTCATCACGTTTATTTAATAATATTGGTAATAGATTACTGAGCGTTTAATTTTGATAGATAATATTCGATGTTTAGGAAGAATTGGTATTGGAATAGCATTAGCGGGTGGAATTGTTAATTCTATGCTTTACAATGGTAAGGAAATTATTCCTCATGCTTGATATTTATCTGATCATTATTAAATAACAACAAAACTACATAATTATATTTCTAGTTGACGGTGGTCATCGAGCTGTTATATTCGATCGTTTTCAAGGTGTTAAACCTATTGTAATTGGAGAAGGAACACATTTTATGATTCCATGGCTTCATAGACCAATTATATTTGATATTCGCACTCGACCACGATCTATTCCATCTATAACAGGAACAAAAGGTATAAGAATAGAGACATAATAAATTCTATTCCATCATTTCTATCATAGATTTACAAACAATTAATATTACTTTACGTATTCTTTATCGACCACAAGCTGAGGTTCTACCAAAAATATTCACAAACTTAGGTTTAGATTATGAAGAACGTGTTTTACCGTCAATTACTAATGAAGTTTTAAAATCTGTTGTCGTAAGTTAATGATTATTTATGTATTTTTGACTCTATCGAGTGAAATGATTAGGCTCAATTTGATGCTATTGAATTGATTACACAACGTACACTTATATCACAACGTGTAAGTGAATTATTAACGGAACGTGCTGCACAATTTGGTTTATTACTTGATGATATTTCAATTGTAAGATATTAACAAATGAAAATGATTATATTTAACTATTCATTTATTTTAGACACATTTAAGTTTTGGACCTGAATTTACAAGCGCTGTTGAATTAAAACAAGTTGCTCAGCAAGATGCTGAAAAACAAAGATTTTTAGTTGAAAAAGTAAATATATAAACTAAATTTTATATTATACCATAATCTATTCTAATCAAAAATAAAACAGGCTGAACAAAGTCGTCAAGCAAATGTTATTGCAGCAGAAGGTGATGCTCGTGCTGCTGATTTGATTGGTAAAGCTTTAGGTGAAGCTGGCGATGGTAAATTTTTAGATATATATATATTTTTTTTTCATTGAGTTTCATATTTTTATTTAGGTTTGATTGAACTCCGACGAATAGAAGCAGCTGAAGATATTGCTGGTCAATTATCGAAATCAAGAAATATCGTTTATTTACCACATGGACCTCAAATGTTACTTAATATTTCGGGTGCTGCTCAATAGAATTAAATAGTTTTTTTTGTATGTGTTTGTGTGTTTCTAAACTATTAGGAAAAAAAGTGAAATATTTTGTTGTTATTTTTTTCAAACAAAACCCTCAATCTACAATTCTTTAGATGTTATTAAAAGTTCGAGTACGATTGAAATAATGAATTTTGATACTCTCTTTCGGCGTTTTATATTGACGCAATCATTTGTTCGTGGTTGGGGAAATCCATCACATTTACAAGAAATTTTTAAATTTCGAAGAGAAAAAATTGGTGTAAGAAATGAATGTTTAAAACTTGTACCAGCTGAAAGTGTACAAGAAAATACTATTGAAATTATTAAACAAGAAACAAAAGGTGATCTACAATACTTAAATGGTCGATTTCGTTCACCACTTGCGGATCATTTACCAAATTTAGTATGATATGAATAGATTTTAATAATTTTATATCGATTATTTATCTTCGTAGGTTTCACCTGAAATAGCAACAGCTCATTTTCAACTTGTGTTACCACGTAATCATCGTATTGGTATTGATTCCATACCAATAGGTATTTGTTATGCTGGAACAGGTGATCAAGGTTATGGACGACGAAGATTACTCACTGCTGTACCATTAATTAATCAATATCGTATTGGTACAATTCTTCTAGAAAATCCATATTATGGTTTCAGAAAACCGACTCTTCAATCTCGTTCATCATTGTTCTATGTAACTGATTTATATATCATGGGTAAAGCACTTATTTTAGAAACAATTTTATTACTGCATTGGTGTCAAAAAATGAAATTATCACCAGCTATTTTACATGGTTATTCTCTTGGTGGGCATATGGCTTCATTAGCTTTTACAAAGTAAGAGACAGTTTAACTAATTAAATGTGTTTTATTAAAGAATTCATCTATTTCTTAATATTTTAGTTGGCCTGGTCCACTTTCTCTTCTATCTTGTGCATCATGGTCATCAAGTTCAACAGTATTTTGTGATGGTGTACTTTCACGAACTATTCCATGGGCACTTTTCAAAAAACAATTCTACGAAAATAAAGCATATCAAACATTTTATGATTATTTATGTTCACAAAAAAAGTCGACAAATTCAGATACAATTATTAGTGATCCTATTAAACATATGATGCGTCTTCTTATGGATGAATTTACATCTTTACAAAACTATTCACGTCCAGTTGAATCGAATATAAATAATGCTTTATTTGTTGCTTGTGCTAATGATGGATATGTATTACGTGATGGTATTCCACATATGAATGATGTATGGCCTGGTTGTCATATTCGATATATTCCACGTGGACATATTAGTGGATTTCTATTCAATCAATCTGGTTTTCAACATGCTATTGCTGAAATGTTACAACGACAAGAACCAAATGTAAAACTAAAAAAGAATCCAATTGTATCACCAATCTCTGTTACAACATCTTCAAATTCATAAAAATATTTATTTATTTTGTTGTTTTTGTGTTTACAGATCAGTTCAACGAATGTATGCTTTTGATAAAATATAACCCAGAAAATATAACAATATTTCTTTTCAAGTATATTCTTTGTAATTAACAAACAATATATTGATTTTTTTGGATATTTATTTATTTTTATTTATGCAATAAAATTTTATTGAGATTATAAACGACAAGACTTGATTAAAATGGAACTATAATAATTAAGTACGATCAATAGGTTGTCAATTATGATTTCAAATTCAATTGATATGTGTGAACAATGCACTCGGAGTAACTTTTGAATTCGTTTTCCCAAAAGAATTGAATAAAAATAATCAGGTAAATTTAATTTAATAACATAATGACTAATTTTAATAGAAGAATTTCATTTTCTTCTTGTGTACCTTTCATGAAATTCTATACTTTTTAATGGAAAACAATCTATTGTAAATGTATGTAGTATACGACAATGATAGATACATTTATAGAATATGATTAAATTGTTTATATAATATTAATAAGCGATTATCAATAATATTCCAACTAATGAATTATCATCAAGATTTATTGAACAATATAATAAAGAAAATAGTGGTCAACAAATATAAGTATCTTTTTCTCGACTACATAAATCAAGAATAGCTGTATGAAACGAAACAATTCAACGACATTAATCGATAGCTTTTATTTCTCCTATATTGTTTATAATAAAATGAGTTGTTACTGTATATTTAAATAAATTTAATAAATATGTGCTAATTGTTCACCTACCAGAATATGGTAAAACTTCATTTGGCTAAATTAAAAAAACAAAAGAAAAATCTAAAATATTTTATTTGAAAGAATTTGTTTACTTGAATGCATAAATATAGAATATAATCAAGTAGAGTTTGTAAATCACATTGATTATTAATAATTAAAATAATATTTCCTTTATTATAATCTTCTTCATGAATTATCGTTTTCAAATAAATAAACAAGAATAAATTTTTCAAAACAAAAATTTAATTAAATAGTTATCTAGAAGTAATGATATGTAATTCTATAGTATTTATAAACAGATCGAGAAATTTGATATTGATAGCTTTTGCGTCTTTTTTTTCTTTTTACAAAATTATGAAACTTCTTTCTTTCTTCTATTTCGTTTGAACACATACACATGTAACCTAGAGAAAGAAATGTAAACATCAAGCCATGCTTGCTTGCTTCTATTAGTAGCGTATAATGGTGGACGTCCTTTGAAACTGAAGATATGTGCGATTGAAAGCGATAGAAGAAGACTATAATAGAATGATGAGGCAGTATATTGAGTGAAAGAAAAAAATGATTGTTTTTGTGACTGTTTATTTAAAAAATGTGTTTGGAAGTTCTACTAACACCAATGAAAAATATTAAAACCTCAAAATTTGTTTTGTGAAATAAAGAAAAGAATATACTTCTAGTTGTACACTGTAGGATAAGCTTTCGAAAAGAGATATTGACTTTTGATAATTATGGAAAAAATAGTTTAAATGAGTTAATTTTATGGAAACGTTTTGCTCTTTTGTTCAGAAAGCTTAACATAACTCTGAATTAAGATTCTACTTGATAGCGTCTATCAATTGTTTCGTAAAACCTTACGTCCTCACATTTAACAAAACTTATAATAAATTGAATATATGTTTTTGAGCTCAGCCCGATAATAAAACATTGCTCATGCTTATTGTACATATTTGGTATTGATTTTAAGAAGCACAGAAGAGTATATTTTAAGATTTTATTTTTATTCAAACACAAAATTATAAAAAAAATACAAAAAATAAAAATAAAAAATACAGAAGAACAAATAAAAAAAACAAAAAAAAAATTAAAGACGTTAAGAAAAAAAAGAAGCTAGCTAATTTATAATGTTTTTTTACATTGATTATGGTTGATGGCGATATTAGATTTTTTAGGTAGGTTCCTGGTTGCGCCATCGTATGCCCTACAAAGCAAAAATAGTAGATTTATTCAATATAAAAAATAATTAGAAATAATAATCACAAAGAGGAATGTATTATTTACGAAATAAAATACCGATAGCACCCCTTAAGACCACATACCTGGCTTATTACTTTCGA